ATGAGCAGGATGAGAAGAGCGTAGAATATCGGTTATGTTACCCGTGCTAATGCATGGCAAGAAGAAACCTAAACCATATGCTGGCATAATGTAAGAGTGTAATGGATTCTTTGAATAATTATAGAGGCATTATTGGAAATGTTGTTGGCATGATGATTTTTATAAGAAACATAAAAATTCGGTTGAAGATTAGAAAACTCTTTTTGATGTGGTTTGTACACGATTTGTTGGAAAATTGGATGATGAAACTACCAACTTGTAAAGTAATGGGATTTGGGGCTTTGTTGCAGAAGATTAGTTATGCTCAAATGTATCTTGAAGCCTTAACTTCTTTGTTTGTTAATTCTCGAAAGTTTGGATGTTTGAGATGGTAATTTTTGATACTTATAATAAATAAATTAGATTAAATAGTTGAAATCTTTCATCTCTTTTAGATAGATAATTATTGAGGGGCCACGCTTAAATTTTTTTAATTAATAACAGAGTAGAAGAGTGAATTACAATCTTTCAGCATATTTAGACATAGGTGGGGAATAGAAGCAGTAAGAAAGGAAAATTGGAAAAACTCGGACATGAAATAAAGTGCCAATGTATATTAAATTTATGTAGTGCATTAGAGTATCAATAATCTAAAGTAGTGGACTCATCAAGAAAAGAACAGACAGATATAGAAGATTTAATAGCATACATACCTCAACATAATTTAAAGATGTAAGAAGTTAGGCGATTTGATAGTAGTTCTCATATCCATTCTATTCAAGATAAGAAGGCTAAAAAGTAATACCTTTTAATTACTTTCGCTAGAGTATGCAAAAGCAAGATAATGAGTGCAAGATACAAGGATAAGCATAGTCGCATCCACTTCCCAATACAAGATAGTAATATCTAGGCTAATAGTAGAGCAGAGAGTTTGTATTTTTAGTATAGTGTAATATAGTCTCAGAATAGTGCATGCACATGACACAAGAAATACGTAAGAGTTGTAAAGAGCTCTTATAAATTACAACCTTTAATTGCACATTTTTTATTGTTTTGTGTGATAAAAAAAGTAAAATATATTTAGAAGTTTATTTTTTCATAAATTCTTAAAATTTATCTTTAAAACGGCTAATGAAAAAAGCGTTTAAAAAATATAGAAAAGCTAAAACTGCAAACAAAATATAATTAATAGATTTTTAAAAAAATCTTTTAAAATTTAAACTATTTGGCTTATTACTTAATTTATGAAAAAAAAATAAATATTAATTTATTATACACTATTTATTTTATTATAAAATATTACTTTAATTATGAGTCTATGATCCAAACCTCGCTGGTCGCTTTGAACATCATCGACTATGATCCTCATAATCCCTCGCGGTCGAATACAGAAGCGGCTTACCGCTGGCGATCTTATTCATATAAAAAGAGCGAGTCCGCCGGTACTCAGCCGCGAGACAAGTATTTGCCACCGAGTCGACTATGAAGCTGTTACTTATTCTGAAATGTAAAAATACCAAAGTATACGTTGTATAAGGATTTCTCCTCATCAGGAGAAGCAAAACACGTCGCTGCAAGTCGTGCTCAATCCACAAGGACTGTTATTTGATAGTGAGCACTCGCTCTAAACATTTTTGAATGATGACTATTCATAGATCTTCCAGAAACATCGCATAGTAATCACCTGCTAATATAATGCACAATATACCGCACCTGAGCTCTCTAGCAGAAAAAGTAAATTCTGCTCCCATATCCTATTAGGCATAGCCCTTATATAACATAAAAATATCGAAAAATTCATCAAAGCAAATATTCAGAAAACTTAAAATACAAGGCAGATTGATGTAAAAGAGGGATGAAGCAAGAAAGAAAGACTTCTGAAACCCAATAGAAGCTTGGAACCAACACATAATATAGTGTTAGACCGAACAATAAAATAATAGCCAGAAAAAAATCAGTTGCAAGGTCAAATAATCAGAAACCAAGTACAAGACCATGGTAATCTTAGAAAGCACAACACAAACAACCAACCCAACATTGAAGGAAAATAAAATGAGTTTCATTATTCTGAAGATATAATTGGGAAATTGCTGCTAGGAGGGAGTTGGACGTTGAATAATGACTAATCGAGCCAGTCCTTTTGTCATTTGATATACTCTCTTGTTCTAATGGGCATAGATATGTGGTTCGTACACTAACAATCTGAGTGATGCCATTAGAGCGCAGTTATCATGTTCCCTCTGTAAAGAAGTATCGATTATTATTAATTTATCAATGCCAAAGAAAACTTGTCCATTCCTATGTTAGGCTACAAAACTGGCGAGCCAGACATCCATAGAAGGACGCTAGAAAGGAACAAAGGAGTGTTTATATGGAGTTTATTCTTCCAAGGGATTAAGTAGCAGCGACGAATGAAGGGGCGTTCGATGAGTCCTTGAGAAAGATATGGATTTAAGAAAATACTCTTTTGTGGGGGATCGGTCAAGGTTACGAGTAAATGATGGCGCAGATTACCTCCATCCAGCTTAGGTCAGGCTATACAAATCATCGCTAGGCTGGCCTATGATCCTTTTTTCTCCATTGTATGAATAAAAAAAAAAAAAATCGGGTGCGGCGGCGAAGCTCATCCTCTTCCAAGTTTGCGTCGCCCTAAGCTTTCGCTTAAACGAGTCAACTATTTTTCTTCATCTTAATGCGGGTCTCATCTAATGACAGCAAAGAATTCTTCTTGTTTTATCATCTCGAATATTCCTAGTTGCGCATAACGGATGCATATAGAGAAGGCATTCTCTGCTTTGTTGTACATGGTCTAGCTAAACCCTCACCACGTTTCTTAATCATAAGCGGCTCCATCAATCTATTCTCTAGTTTCTAGCCTGGGTCTATCGTTGCTGTTCCAATGAAATACTCTGCCATATGCGTATGCTCTATCATCCCCCAATCATCAAATCCTCTGGAAGAATCGCATTATTGCGTTTACTTACTACGGAACCTTTTGAGCATAAAAGAGGATGCAATTCAGTTTAGTCATGAAGGCGCCAATTTGTTTTGCTTTTGTGTTGCTATGTACATAATACAAATGATGTCTGGCTTGCTATGATATTTGTTATCTTTTCTAAATTGGTGCGTATATAAATTTTAGGTTACTTACCTGGTGAGATGCATGTATAGTCTTAAATGCGTTCAAATTATGCTATATCCTATATTTTATTTTATATTATAGAAAAATGATTAATATTCCTTTAATGACTTTTATACCATCTTTAATTTCGCATTTTGTTTTTTGAACCTTTTCTTGTAGTTTCTTAAATTATTGCGTGTTTGATGAATGATTAAATTTTAGAAAGAACTTTCATTATGAAGGAGATAGTTCTAACGGCGGTTGGATTTTAACATTTAAATATAATTAAGCAATCGTAATCATAACTCAAATAGCTAATTTATAAAGCTATTGTCGAACTTTTAATCTTTTTTATTACCTATATTCAACTTGACCTACCATCAATATATAATTTTATTAGTGTATTTTGGTTGATATTATACTATAGTGGTTACCATATAAAATACTCAGCTTATGCTAGTTTTGCAATGCTTTTCTATCTTAGCTAATCATGATTATTATTTTTTGCATATTAGTTGCTTCTATTCTATATAGTTTTTCTTTTTTACTGCTATTTATTTAATTCTCTTGTTTATCTCACTATTTTTTTTTTCTCATAAATTCTCCTTTATACATCAGTAAATTTTCGAAACTATAATTACAAGCAGATAAATTTATTAAATATATTTTATGTGAATAATATTCGAAACACTAAATTGATGTAAATTATAATAGCCCATAGGTTGAATTAAAAATAAAAATATGTTTTTATTTGGACATTAACAACAGTAAGGCGTGGATCTATCACAAATATTTCATAGAAATTTCAAGGCTGAGAAGGATGCTGTTGAATCTTCGGCGCAGATTGTAGAATAAATAACTTGTTACTGAGAAAAAAAAAGAATGATAAAAGAAAGATAGTTGAAAACTGAAGATGTCATTATCCCTATACTGTCCGGATTCACGGATAATCTTATAATGACTTATGTGGATGAAACATATCGGTTGATAACAATAAATTGATATAATATAAAGTTCAAAGTCAAGTTCTACAACAGTTAATCAAATTAATATTTTTCTGATTGTCAATCACACATTTCTGTCGCTTAGGTTAAGAGAGGTCACACTAATTACAGAGTAGTTTTCAAAGAATACAAAATCTAATTTTGAGATAAGAGATGAAGTGTCTATTATTGATATAAAATATTTCAAAGCTTGCTTGCTTTTGCGAAAGAAGGGAAGATATTTATAGTTCGAGTAATAACAGTAATAATAATGGAATCTGTTTATCATTATAAATCCTACTTATTATATATGTAATAAATTTCTAATTTTTAACTAATGGATTATGCTCTTTGATTTTTTATTGAATTCATCTAAAACAAATCATTTTTTTTCCTACATTTAATCCGGAATTGCTCTTTTTTTAGTTTTTTAGTACACTCGGAATTCACAAAAATTACCGCAATTTTTCTTGTTGTTATTTGAATTTTCACCCCCACCATCGACACAATTAACTTGGCTGAGGTGTTAAAAGTATTCATATATTTGTTTGGTTCATGTCTAAGTTTTTATATTTTAATATATTTAGATTCAATATTCATATATATGTGTAAATGTTAAAGTTTTTCGATTCTATAAATTAACTGACGTTTTATGTCTCTCATTTTTTATTCTCTTGTTTTATCATTCATTGATATCCTTTTTATTCTATTAGTTGTTACTATACTTTCAATTAATCGAAAAATTATTAGTCTATTAATTTTGCGCATTTTCTCCCTCTTATTCAATCGCAACAACTCGTTATATCTAATTGATTATTGTTGTTTCCACAAAAAAAAATAATTGCAGAGAGCCAGAGAGAGAGGCATGTGGAAACAGATTCTATATTCATATCAATAGGTAAGCAACATCAATAGAAAATAGTCATAATTACTCCAACTTATATCCACGTCCATCGAGAAGTAGCCTTACAACGGGTCAACTGGGAATTGGAATATATTAAATAAAATGTCTAAGAACTTTTTCAATACTCCATATTTTTTTATAGATGGTTTGTACTATAATATGTATATTTCTTACAATTAAGTAAGTGATTAATATATAAGTAATAGATTAGAGTATTATATGAATATGTTACAAAGAATGCTGTGCTTAATATGAGATATTTTTATAATAATAATGATTATAAAATCTATCATAATATTAGACATCTTCTACAAAATTATTATGATAAAATGATTACATAAAATAATTAATAATTCAATTCCTAAATGTAAACGCAGTTTGATTTAGTATCTATCTCTTCTCTTTTCAAAGTAGTGGCTTATTTCTACTCTTTAACTTTTGCCGTTGCCTAATGAAAGGGTTATATGTAACATAGCTAATGTATGCGTTGAATGTAGATGTTTCATCATGTACTGTAAGTTTCTAGAGGTGTTACTTAGGAGAGAGAAGTTTCTAGATTGCGTCATATCGATTTTGCTTCTCGTTAGGGGTTTGAGTCTTATCATAACTCGTGTCGAGTTGACTCTCCAGATTCTCTTGAGTCACATGTATATTAGAGCACCTTACAGCTTCATACTTTTAATTCCGGAGGTTATTCCTCATGGCCTATTCCGTCCATTCGCATACTTGGCTGTGAGCCTTCTTTGGTAATGTGAGTTAGACTGGCAGCTTCTAGAAATAATGTCATAGGCGTAAGGCCAATTCCAATCACAATATTGTTTGATCTAACTTATCAATTTTAAAAAATATTCCTCTATTATTATTTTGTTTTGAAGAGTCTCGAAAGCGTCGGTTTGCACTTTTTGTGATTCGTTCAGTTTACATGTGCTTCCCTGTGAGTCGCCCTCCCATCGTTGCAAATTAATTTTCTAACTTATTGAAGCTTATTTTTAAGAGAGAGTCCACATATTCGGATTATATCATTTGCAAAGTAGTGTAATGCTAATATCTCTCTTTATCATCTTTGAGAAGCATTTTAACCGCTATGCGTAAAATAATACAGGGCTTAGAACAATTGGCCTTTGATGCAGATTATATTAATCGTATTGCATGAAACTATTTACTAGTCTACTACTAGTTCTAATCGCTATCATTATTATAATTAACATCTTAAATTAAATCAATAGATAAGCGCCTTCAGAATAATTATTCTTCAATCATTAACATGAATAGAGTATATTGCTCATGGTACTACAATATTTTAATTTCAGCAGTTGCATATACATCCATAGCTGAACCGTAGGTTGTTCATGTGATCCTTTGCTGCTTGATATTTTAGTTTCTTTCCTTAACATTGAAAAAACTCCTCGATATAGGTCTGGTGGCTTATAAGACAAATTGACTCTCAAGTTGCAAGACAAGATTTTCTAAACTAATGTTATATCAGACATTCATCTACTTCCACATACTATTTATTAGTATGAACTGAAAATCCTTGATTTCTTTATAATCTTATCTTCAGAATATCTCTTATAATTATTCTTTATTTTTTGGTTCCTTCAAAAGTGTGTCTACTCCAAAATGTTGTATTTTCCATAATTTGCACATTTTATTATTTATCTAGGAATTTGTATAGAAACTTTAAACAATGGTTCTGTTTAATGCTAATATTAAATTATTCTTATAATCTTAGAGGGTTATAGCACTTGAGCTCGGACCGGGGTTGCCTTTCGGTAAGTGGTTTGCGTTCAGGTTTTAACGGGAGCTGTCCCAAGTCCGGGAGTTGAGAACAAGGTGGTAGGGTTTGCGCTTTATGGTTAGGAATAACGCAAGGTCCTACCAGCGTAAAGACTTTGTCAAAGCAATAATATGACCATGAATCCCTTTAAAAGAAATTTTGGATTAATGCATAAGGAGGCTCGATTGATGTCATATCGAACTGTTTTCGGGGTCGAGCGTTTATCCCCGTGGAGCGAACGCCTGTGTGCGTGTAAATGTGGCTGAATCCAGTGACTAAGTGGTGCAGAGGGTCGCGTTATGCCCGGCGCCGGGTGCAGTTGTTTAATAGGCAGAGGGTTCCACAGTCATAGGGACAGGAGTCGTGGGAAAAGTAAGGTCTAGTCCATGAAACTAAAATTTAGGTATACGGAACTTGGAATATGGTTCCCTTACAGGAAGAATTAATGGAGATATTAATGAGGTGGTATGTATGTATTCATTAGGATGTTAAATATTTTTGCTGCATTCAGAGGTAGAACATAGAATTGGGTTGGAATAAGGCGTCAAAGGAAAATTGATTAGATTTAAGGATTTAAACTTTGGTATTCGGGTAGGAGTCGTACTAAGAAATGGTGTAAGTGTATATTATACGAAAGAAGGTTAAGGATAATGTTATAAGAATTAAATAAGGATATTGGATGATATCAAATTAATACTTTAAAGAATTGTTTGTTGATGATAAGTATTGTTAATATTATAAGGTGCTTATGCTCATCAGTAGGTTTGGATCATGGAGTTCTAGAGATTATTTTTGGATATTTGAATGAATGAAATTACAAACATATACCTTTCTTGAAGAAAGAGTGTTTTATTTAGGCAGGAGATTTATAAATGGACATGAGTTGGTAGAGGGAGGAGATGATTTTAAAAAGCATTCATCGGTTGGGCCATCGGAAGTTTGTGAGCGAGATGTTGATGAAAGGTGGGGACTAAGAGCTATTGATTGGAATTTTTTTTAGGGCTGATTGATGTTGTTTTTAGAATTGCTAATACCGTGCGTTGTTTATTGTAAGAATAAGAGATGAGCATCTCAGTGCGACTTATAAAAATGGATGATAATAATCATACACTAGATTGTACTAATTTTCTTATTAGATAAATTAAATCGTATTAGAGTTGCAATATGTGGTTTTGATTCGGGCAAATTTATTGTTATACAAGTTCGATGAAATTATTAGTTGTGTTTGACGCTAAACTTACTAAGGTGATCTTTTAGACGATAGGTGTGCATTAAATAATATAATAATAGTAATTACAATTTTTCTAGATTAAATGGGCGCCGCACATTTAAAAGAATATTAAACAAAATTATTTTGGAAAACTAAGATTTTAGATCTAGAAGATTTTGTCTTGTTGCATTTAGAGTGATTGCTATATTATGTGGGAAAAAGTGGCTAAGTGATATCGAGCATATTGCAAAAGATGTCCTGTAGGCGTAGAGGATCAAAGCGGAATCTTATAGAAAATAGTTGTTCTGGGAATGCGCTATGCAATAAAGAAGAATTGTTGGTTTGAACCACAATGTCAAGATGAGCTAATTAGAGTATAGACATAAATTGGTTATAATTAAATTTATGTATAATTTGATTTGATATAGAGTGGGTGGAAATATATAAAGTGGTCTTCGTAAAGGCAGTGCTAAGAAAGCAATATGCGGGATGTAAAGGCATTAGGCGGTTATTAGTTAGATTTATTATAATAGGCTATAATACTAAAAACGAGGATGAAAGATATATGCGTTATTATAGTTACGCCAAAACAAAGAGATAAGAGTAGACTACTAATGGTGGAGTTTAAGTCTCAGTTGAGCTGTATTATGTAAAGATTGACTTGATGATCATAAGAATTATCTTTGGATCTTTAGAAGATGATTATTCTATCGAAGAGATGGGGAGTGGTAGAATATTGTGTGCGTCAACTTTTTAAATGGAAGATGTGTCGAATAAGCTTTAACTATAGGTGGCTTACAGCCTCTAATGAAGTAGATAGATTTATTGTTTTATCAGCGTATTAGTAAACTGAAGTTAGAGAGGTTTTAAGAGAAAATGAAGGGTGGAAAAGGCTATTGGGACCTGATTGCATTCCAATGAGAGGTGTGGAAATGTTAGGAGAATGAAGGAAATTTCATGGCTTACTAAACTTTTTAATACTATTTTGAAGACTAAAGAAGATGTCAGATGAGTGGAGAATGAGTTGTGTAATTCAGTAATTTTTAAGAATAAAGATGTGCATGCTCAAGCAAATTAGGTGTGCGATTATTAAGGAGAGTATTGATAGGTTTAATCGTGTTCATACTTAAAACTACATCGGAGCGAGTTTATGCGAGTCATAGTTGCGGCGATACTAATGTTTCTACAAAATCAATTCTTGGATTCATGCCGGGTAGGTCGACTAAGGGAAGTGCGCCATACAGTTTTATAAGGAGGTGTTGTTTGATGAAAAATATAGAGAAAATAGAGAGTGAGGATCTATGCCATAGATATTTTATGAATTATAGAAAAAGCAATATGGATATTCCAAGTAAGAAGTGTCTATGGAAGAGTTTTGAAAAAGAAAGGAGTCAATAATGCTCTATACTTCAATGCATTTATAAAGGATTATGTATGTGGGGCAAGAGTCTATTATGTGTGTTGAAAGCACAAGTGGGATCTGACAAGTATTGTTTCCCTAGTCTTCGGTTTGGGTTCTGCATCAAGGATACAGCCTTAAATGCCCATATACTTGTTTGTGCTTTAGTCATGATGGTTCTCACATAGACATTTGCGAAGTAGGAATGTAACCTTGGGTGGTAATGCTTTTTGCTGTATGGAGGTTATTTTCTTCTGTTGTCAAGACTGAGAAGAGGGAGTTGAGGGTTAACTGTGAATTATGGAGGTCAACCTTAGAGTCTAAAAGGTTTTCACTTTGAGTAGCTTGTGGATCTAACGGAATATATGGAACGTGTAAATTTTAGTAGTAATAGACCTAGTGAGGGGATTGTGACTTTGGGCGATCAAGTCATTAATAAGAGTATACGTTTTAGATATCTTGGATCTATTGTTCAGAGTGATGGTGAAATAGATGGGGATATTATTAGCAGAATTCAAGTTGGATGGTTGAAGTGGAGGAATGCATCGGGCTTGTTATGTGATAGAAATGTACCCCTCAAACTTAAGGGAAAATTCTATAAGATGGTAGTGAGGCCTGCAATGCTTTATGGTGCCGAATGTTGGCCTTTAAAAGAGAAGCATAATACTAAGTTAAGTGTGGCAGAGATGAGGATGCTCAGGTGGATGAGTGGCTTTACCCTTAGAGATAGGATACGAAATGAGCATATACGTGAAAAGGTTGGAGTAGCTCCAGTAGAAGATAAGATTAGAGAAAGTCGCCTTAGATGGTTTGGTCACATAAAACGGCGGCCTTGCGATGACCCGGTTAGGAGAGTAGAGGTATTAGATTTGACTTATGTTAAGAAAGGTAGGGGTAGACCTAAAAAGACTTGGTTAGAAAATATTAGGAATGACCTTTCTTTATTAGATTTAAACGAGAATTTGACTTTTAATAGGACACAATGGAGAAAAAAGATTCATGTAGCCGACCCCACGTAGTGGGATAAATGCTTGATGTTGTTGTTGTTGTTGTTGTATTTTAATCTTAATGAGCATTTCTTCTAGGCCTAAAATATAATTAAATTATTCTAATTTGAGGAGCATAAACATTAACATCATTATTATCTTGAATATGTTGACCTCTAGCCACCAACAACTCCCACTCGCAAGCAACCGGCCCACACGCACGCACGATCTTCCCAAATGATGCAACTCTTTGCTCCTGTAACTTCCTCATGCGACATAAAACACCTTAGACAAACCATTCGTCGACCCCAGTTCATTTGAACACACGAGACTCTACTCTCCCGTATCTTGCTCTTGCCCGACCATAATTGCCTGACTTTGCACGCAGAAGACCTAGTCGACTCCTCCCTTGTTCGATCCTCCTTGATTAAAGCCCTCACTCCTCCCTCGACTTCTCTGTACGCATGATACCCAACCTCGTCATTCGACTCTGACCGACCCGATGCTGCATGCACTGACCTCCAATCCGCCTAACCGGCCGATCCAACACGAGCCCACACAGACGATACCGGTCCCGCTTCATCTCTGCCCTCTTAGCCGCTCTATCCAACTCATGACTCACCCGATCCCAATCTCCCACAACTTTGATAAACTTCGTCCCTTGCTCTTTGATTTGATCAATTCTTCACTGTCAGCAACATTAAAACTAAAATGTATTAATTCCTTGCTCAATTGTTTGTTTAAATGACAAATACACTTTTAATTTGAAGACTTGCGCCGCTGATCTTAGATCCAGCTAGAAATGCTTAAATTGAAGACTTGCGCCATTGTATCTTATAGATCTGATCGGGAAGAACTAAAGGTAAGGGCCTTCCAACCTCTCCTCGCGGGGAAGGGATGTCGGGAGGCTATTGAAATTTGAACTGACAAATGACTCCTTACATAATTAATTTAAAATAAATAAAATATATAATATAATAATAATAATAAAATCATCTAAGTTAAAAAAAATGAATGATAAAAAAAAAAATGAATGAAATATTTTCCTTCCAAAAGACTACAAAATTTATTTAAAATACAGCTCTCCATGATCATTCTTTATACAATATCATGTGGAGTTTGAAGATTATTGGAAGGGAAATTTTGAGAGGTTAAAGTTCTAGGAGGCTTTCTAATAATAAAGTCTAGGGGAATCATGATGCCAATGATGGAAAATTAAATCTAAAATTGATGAAATTGATGAAGATATGTGGATGTAGTTGCACAAAATATTAAACTCTAAATTATGAAATTTGGGCTTCGAATCGGATTAAAATCTAATTCTAGAAACGCTCAAGTAAGCTTTCAATTGAGGGAGATCTAGGTATTTGTGAATTGTTAAGTTGTTAAGATTTTTTGTGGAAGAGTCACATAATGAAATAATGATGTGATAGAAAGAAAATACTTGAGTGTTAATGCCAACTAGAATTTTCATTCAGGAAGAAGTGAAAGCTATGTATGGTCTAGGTGCATTTGATATCTACTCAACATTTTTTGCATTTTTTGAAACTTAAGAATTTTGGGTCTTTGATTCCTGAGGATATAGGTAATATAGTTCCCTCGAAGTGAATGGGTTTTGGCACTGCCTATTAAAGAATAATGAGCTATTGCCAATAATTTGTTTGAAGACATTCAAAGGGTCATCATTTAACTGTGTAATTGTTGAGGTGAGGGTAGCTCACATGTTGTTTTAAATCATACTATCATCACTATAGGGACTCAGTAGAATTGTTGGCACCATACACATTCAACGAAGGGGTATTTTGCCATGCTTCGTGGCATTTACTGAGATCAGGCCAAAACTTGGCTTGCGTATTTTGAACCTAACATAAAACTCTAAATCAGACATAATATCTCTCGAACAACAAGTGCTATAAGCATCAGTCAAATCCCTAACTCTACAACTATATATAAATCAAGGAAGCCTCAACTAGATTTTCACTACTCCATATTGCATATAAGAGCTTCTAAACAAGAAGGGATTTCACACCATGTTGTTAAAAGGCAATCTTCTACTAGAATACATCATTACTTCTTTGAAGGGACGACCTTAAATAATTGACGATGCTTACTTTGGAATGACAGAAAGGGTTATGTCGACATATAAAGCCAATGAAACAACAAATTGGGTCAATCAGTTACTTATTGATTTGATTTATTTTATCAATTTATAGGGATGCCTAATCACACTTGGATAAATATACTAGAACACATCTTGCATGTCCTCCGACCGTCATATTTGATTGTTGAATTCGGTTTGAGAATGTTACACGGGTTAAATATTCAAGTTTCATACTCATCCTTGAAAGGACTGGAGTTGATCTGACTTGAATTATAAGATGCTTCCTAAATTTCTACAAAATATAGATATTTTTCAAATGACAATTATGTCACCCCGATGATGGCCGTGTTGACAGAAAATCTCAATTGAAGGGAATCTTATTTTCAAAAATACTTAAACCTCAATGCAAAATACAGAAATTTAAAGTGACTTTAACGTCACCCTGATGATGATCGTGTTGAAAATGAATTTGAACAGGAGTGGTTTATTAAATCTCAAACATTTAAATGGAAATCTATCATAAAAAATTAAAAATTAAAATCTATCCACACCACACAACGTTTTGGCGAGGATGATGAATTGATGGATAACTTCAGCTCACAAAGAGCAGATATCTTGTAGAATGTATTACTACAATTCATTCTCTGTTGATTCATCGCTTGCAGGGATGTGGCATTTGACCTTTAACCAGGTGATTTTGCTGCAAAATGACACCATTATATTATAGTCACGACCAAAGCCCGTATGTTCCCTAATGATTAAAAGCCCATCGAGAAATGAATTATAGGGTGTGCCCTACAAAATATAAATGCCCTATGTTAGCTAAGATGAGCTTAAATTTACCACCTTAGACAAACATCCACCTCCAGGTTTGCAAGGTGTCCTTGGACGAAGCAACTCATGGTTGCCGACAAGGTTTCTTCTGTCAGGTTGGGTCGACTACCTCCTCTGACTAAGTAGACCAGGAACCATGACAACCGGGGACGATGGAACTATAGGATCTTGATCGGGCTCGTCTTCATTCCCCCTATCAACAATTTTAAGTATATGATGATAAATTCCAAATCATAAATTCTAAAATTTAATAACAAATTCAAAACCCTGAAAATCGCTGCTATTATATGCTGGGTACTTAGTGCCTACCTCACGATTAGCCTTAATTGAAAGTTCTCTCTCGTTATCAGGAGGGGTAATCAACCATAGGGGCTTGCGCCAATGGGAAACCATAACTAAGATCCTAAAGTCCTCGCAATATGAGGACAAAATTTCTAGGTAGTGTCTTATCTAAAACCTGATATGCCTTTTAAAAATTTAACTGAAACTTAAATCCATTAAAACTCTCCATGTCAAACGTCAACAAAAAGCATGGTGCGGAGAGGCCGGGGCGTAAATTTTCGGAGCCTACATCTATCCTCTACTATATTTACTCTGTTTCTATTGTTACTTGTCCAACTTATAATTGTTTATAACATTCCTCAATTTTTTTTATTTTACTCTTTTCATTTTGTTTCCAGCAAAAGTGTAACTTTTGCCCCTATTTTAGGCATCATGTTCCAAATCTTTAAATCTCATGGAACAAAGTTATTCTTGGTTTGATACTTAGATCATTACTAACTTCTTGCCTAATTAAGCTGATTTGTGACGCTTCACTTGAGGGTGACGTACTAGGCAACCCTTAGTTATTTTTTGACACAATCAAGTTAAGTTGTGACTTCATTTGTCCTTTTTATCAAAATTGGTTTAGGCTGTACCATGTCTCTTTGGTGTTTTACCTAACACTAACAAACACCAATTTTAGATTTATTTCATGGATTTTTATGTAGATTTACACCCTTAACCTTTCTCATCTAGGACATGAGACTTGCAAAGATAGCTTTAAGTTTCATATTGTATTAACATAATTTACTTAATATTTATGCTGGTTTTACAGTCTTAACTAATGGCCTCTTCTCACTGGAAATGCACTTAATCTGCTAACGCTTTTTCAAATTTCATTTAATTTTTAAATATACTGACATATGTGATAGAACATGCTAAGGAAAAAGTCTACTGCTGTAATATATGATTTCAATATTTTTGTTCTTCTTTTTCTACATATATCTGGTGAACTATAAGTTTGTAAGTATACTTGGAAGTCTTAATCTAATAGCACCTAGAAACTCTTTGTAGGGGCTTGGTCTTTACAGCAGCTAGTAATCATACAAAATTTTTTCATAACCAGGCTTGCAGAAATATAAATGTGTATCACTGGCAAAGTCATATTTTAGTTCCTTAAAAGGAAACTTGTACCTTTATCCTTCTCCTTGAATGTTTTCCTGTCGTTTCCACGCTTTTGTGCATTTGCAAACTGGAACTGATTTTTTTGTCTCTATTTTTTGACTAAGGAATTTATGTTTCCAATGAATATATGCATTCAAACCTGACGAAGCTTGTCTTATTGTTTCTTACTGCAGTATAATTGATATAACACGTACACACATTTTAGTCTGTAGAGGTTTATCTTTTTTTTTTTGTGTACTTTCTCGCCTGTTTAAGGACGATAAATCTAAGAAAGTATTAGTAGTTCAGCAAAACCTTTCTTTCTTGTTATTTTTTCAGGGGGGGAACTGAGGCTGCACTTTCAGCTGTTGCAACCGGTTCTCATATTGATGCAATTCCTTATTCAGGAAAATATGATGGTGTTATTGGTGTATTGGGCGCAATAGAAGCAATTAATGTTCTAAAAAGGTTCGCAGCTTGCTAGTCGGAATTCCTAAATGAATTTGTGATGATATTAGTTTGCTTTAATATTGTTTAATAGGTAGCTTTTTCTTATAGCTTCACAATCACACTTTAGTTCCTGCAAATTTTTAGGCTTGAGTTTGCAGTCTATTTTTATAGAACTATTGCTACAGATATTATCTGTTCTTGCTTATCCATTCAATAGTCATTGGGTTACACTATGTGGATTAAATAAAGTGCCTCTTGTTGATTTTATGCAGCAGATTACATATTTGAAGAATTTGATCAAACAATCATAGTTTAAGTATTCATTACACTTATATGAGTGGACATACTTTCTAGACTCTGAAAATTCAAACCGTCCTCCAAAGCTCTCCATTTTTTCATTCGTTTATTTGTTTATTTATAGATTGGACTTAAAAAAAAATGCTTAGAAAAATCAAGTTGAATGTTGGCCTAAAGAATTTCGTGCTATTTTGAATTCCTTAACCTAGCCTATGAGCTAAGCTGCCTATCCATACCAGCACTTAATGATGAACAGACGAAGGATGGTATCCACTTGCAACCTGGATGGAGAAGTCTTTCAGTGCTGCTGCTTGGGTTACTCTACTATGTTTTTTTTGTCATTTGAGCTGCTTTAACTTTTTGAACCCAGTCATTCCTCTTCACGAACTTGTACATTGAATGCTACTAACCATTTTTTTTCTCAAACATAGTCTAGTTTGCACATATTTTTTTCTTCCAATTTTAGCATTTTCTGCTATTGAGATCTTAATGGATGCTGGAGGATGAATAGTTTTTTTTTCTAGAATTGATTGGCTATTTTCTATTTTGCACGGCTCTCGTTATCTAACAATGATCCCAAAGGTTAGGACTGATAGTATTCTGAAGTCTAACGGATATTAGATAATTTCCATTGATTATGTCGTTATTTCCTTTTCTATGTGAATTTTTGGAGTTTATGCTTAGTTAATGGATTGTTTTTCTTTCTGAAATTTTAGTTTTGCATCATCTACTGTAGATTGTTCATTATTTCTTCCAAGTGTAAATTTATAATTCAGTACACCTGCTTGTCTGGTTAGGTGTATGGTATACGTCCCAATGTACATTGTTGAAAGTTGAATTATCAAACCTTGAGTGGCTAAGGTGGATTGTCAAGGTTGATAGCTAATTGAATTCGTAAGTCTGATTCGACTTCATGAGCACTGTTAATATGCTATGACATAATTGATTAGTTGATGAAATGGATTATCAAATATTAAAAAGAGGAACATTTCTGGTGGACAAGGAAAGTATGATGGTGTGTCTTTAATGGTACACATTTAGATGACAACACATGTGGCGGGTGTATTTTAAGATAAGAGATGAAAATGATAAAGAAAACAAAAAATACCTTTTTCTGATATTGCTACAATTCTATTTTCTTACATATCATGAATAAAAATGATATTGATTTATTTATTGAGACTAGCATGCCTATTGTTTTCTAATTTTTAAATTACTATAATTTATAAATGTAATTAGCCAGCAAATTATTTAAATTATCATTTCGTTGATGCATATATATATATATATATATATATATTGTTAGGAAAATTCCCTTTAACCTAAGTAGATGAAAGGAAAGGATTCGTGTACAACATAAGAGTAGCCTAAAAAAATAGTTATTATTAATTTTAAAATGTAATAGTTTTGTATTGGTATTTTTATCAAAAAAAAATTCTGAAGAAAAAATATGTAATGTATGAAATGTTCATAAATGAAAAATATGGTTTAGTTGGCTCTTTTTATTCTACCAGTGATGTGAGAATGTTTAACTTTTTGGTTTGATCATATGTTCCTACCTCATGCACGAGTTTTTAGCCTGGGTCGTGACATTATATACTAATACTGTGATTAGTTTTTCTTGTCCGTATACATCTCAGTGATTAGTTTTTCTTGTCCTTATACATCTCAATAAAATGGTATTGTTGAATGTAAGCATTGTCATCTTCATAATGTAGCTTGAACCTTGGTGTTCCGTGTGATGTCACCCCTTCCCCATTCTCTATTCATGGCAGCCCCCTCTTCTTATTGCACATTTTTTATGGTCAATTTTTTACATTCCTTTTAGACTTTTGGCCAACTCACTCATATATTTGGGGCATTTTTTTGGGTGCTTTCATTCTTAGAAAGGTTATCACTGTTACAACCCGCCTACCAAACTTAATTATGCTTCCTGCAAATGTTACCTTTTATAAGTCATCCCCTTATTTTTCCCCAACTCTTTCTAAACCATTCATATGCATGTTTCTCTTCCTCTTGAAGCGTCTATACCTATCTCTTAATCTCTACTGGTCTACTCATGATGACCTTGTCCTCCTATCGCTAAAACACCTCAATCCATATTTTTATATTCAATTGAGCATCCATCTTTTGGAGAATTATCTGATCTCCATATTCCCATTGCCTTTCAGAAAGCTATATATGACGTTGCATTGAACATCAAATTTAGTCATATGTTCTTTGATCATCTTTCCTTTGGCTTATGACATTTTGCATTGTCTTTGTCATTGGTTTCAATGAAGCAAGCTATGGATATTGAAATGACTGCTTTGCTAAATCAATATAGCATAATCCAGTCCCATTTTGATTGGTTTAATATGTGGGATCCAATTAGACCTCCTCATAGAATAATCAAGTCCCATTTGATGGGTTTACACTATCAATTTTCATCATGAGATTAAGTACTTTTACACCTTATCCTAAATTGCTAGGCTCAACCAAATTTTTTATTTTATCCACGAATCAAGGCTGGTGATTTCTAAAAAATGGATGTGAATAATGACTTCATTGTGATCTCATTTAAGTTATTTATATAAAGCAATCACCATGATACATTACTCAGGGAGACCAGAGTATGTAAGCTCTATAAGGGCATATATGGGCTAAAACAAATCCTCAAGCTTTGTTTGTCAAGTGTTGGAATGTTTTTATTAGGGTTGGTCTTTGTATCCAACTAATAGATCAGTCTATTTGTCTTCAAACATACTTTATTTGCTTTATTATTTTAGCATTCTATGTATATGACATTCTCCTTATGGGAAGTGATCATAAAGGAGTTATGGAAGTAAAACACTATTTACAAAAATATTTTCTAATCAAATATATGGGTCATGTGAAGTACTCTCTACGAATAGAATTTGCCTGTGGCAAATTAGTTTATTGTTTAAAAGAAAATATGCCACCGATCATCTTGAGAAAATTGGTTTTTTTAGGTTGCGAACCTATTGACACTCAGCATGTTGCTAATAATGAGAACATTTTTGACGCCTTCCCTTATTATCAGTAGTTGTTTGATAAATTACTCTATCTTACCATTGTCAAACTAGGTATCTTCTTTGTTTTCAGGTTGTGAATCAACACAGGCAGACTCTCAAATAGAAATATTGGGAAGTTATTTGTGCATTCTTAGGTATATCATGAAGTCACTAGTGAAAATACTACTATATACTAAATGTGGTTATCTTAACGTGGAATTGGTTTTTGATGCCAATTATGCTTAATCAGTTGATAATAGTAAATTCACTTTTTTGAATGTTTATGGGAGGTAATTTGGTTGCATAGAAAAGTAAAAAAAAATAGAGGTGGTTAGATCAAGCGCTAAGGCATAATATAGAGTCATGACATATTCTACATGTAAAATGACATGGATGACCCTTCTAGGATAGTTTAACGTCTATTGCACGACTTAGGATTTAAATTGTGACTATCAAATTGTCATCTTACATTTGCAGTACTCCCATTTTTAGTGAAAGAATAAAACACATTGAGGTTGATTGTCTTTTTCAGTAAAGATGTGGTACTATATAAGGAAATTGTTACTCATATTTTTAACTCAGAGTAATTGACGGAAATATCTACCAAGGATTTTAATCTACTTGAGTTTTCCAAGATATGTGATATGCTATAGCTTATCAATATATATTCTTTAATTTAAGGGAGACTGTTAGCATAAGAAATCCTGTTTTTGTAAACAAGTGTGTTTGTTAGTTGTATATTGGCATATTATAATTATTCTTCTATTATAAATAGAAGAGTTCTCTATTGAATAAGACATATAACTCTCTTTGGCGACAAAATGCAAGTAATTTAGCTGTGTGAACTTATATTTCTTGTTATGGCGAGCCATGTAGTTTGTCTTATTATATTTGTGCTGTATGCTAGAGAAGGGAAATCTTTATTTGGAAATTTTATTTAAATCTCAATTTGTTTGCAAAATGCAATTCTTGTACTGAGCAATATTGGGACTTTTCCGGCTATTTTCTAAATGTCAAATAGCTTAGATATACTCAAGTCCAAATTAGATTAAATCTCAAATTACTCCCTCGATTATTCACATGTAGCTAATTTAATTTATGAGTATCACATTTTTTCAATTAGTACCTTGACTATATAAAATTGATTTAAAATGATATTTCCTGTAGAAATTGTAATCCCAATTTGTCCATGAGGGGCCATTTTGGATAGTAGTCGAAGGACTACGTTGGAGAGATGTGATACTCTATAATTAAATTTATCACATATGAATAGTTGAAGCATCATTTTGGGATTTAATCCAAATTATACCAAGTTGTAAAAAACATAGATGTACCCACTTGCATAATTTGCTAAATCTTGCTGAATTTACTGCGCTGTTGTTGAGCATTTCTAGTTCTTATTTTTTTGATGCATTTTATTCTAATTCTAAACTGAGCTTGAGTCTTTGAAGTGTAATCAGTACTCAGATTACCATATGGACAGGTCCGGCTTTCAGCCTAAGAGATCATTGGAAGTAATTATGTTCACATCTGAGGAGCCGACACGTTTTGGAATAAGCTGCCTGGGAAGGTTTGGCGTTTATCCTCTCCGTATAGTTATATATTGTAATCATGCCAATTTTAAAATTTACTACTGCAATTCAGAATTAATTGGTTTTTACTTGAAATTCCTCATTAACCTTTGCTACGCTTGCTTCAGTAGCCTAATAAGGTTTGTCAACTTTTTCTTTCATAAGGTACAGATGTAGTATCCATTTGATTAAGTACTATAATTTCTCATTGGTGTTTTACATGTGCAGCCGATTATTGGCAGGAAATGAGGAGCTAGCTATTGCTCTTAAACAAGCGGTTGATGGGAAAAATGTTTCTTTTCTTGAGGCTGCACGATCTGCTGGGTATGCAGTACATGAGGATGATCTGTCTAGCGTATTCTTGAAAAAAGATTACTATTTTTCTTTTATAGAATTGCACATAGAGCAAGGACCGATTCTTGAAGAGGAAGGTTGTATTCCCTGTCAATCAGATTGATTTACTGATTTCTGAATTCATCTACTATTACTTCAAATTTTTATTGACTAATCATGTTGTTTAGGCATTCCAATTGGCATCGTTACTGCAATTGCTGCTCCTGCAAGCATAAGCATTGATTTTGAAGGGAATGGTGGTCATGCTGGAGCTGTTCTTATGCCAGCTAGGTTGGTAATTGGATATACTGTTAGTGTCTCTTGTTAAACATATGGATCTTACGACCAAGTTGATAAATTCATAGTTCATGTAATTATTTTCTCCAAAGGTACAATGCTATTGTTGGCTGGTCAGCCTAAGATTGGCCCCACTTCACGCAATTCGCTCACAAACAACACAACTCTACGCTCAAACGACACAATGGACAGCCCATTTTGTTTCCCCAAAACTATCGTAGGAGCAGTTGGAGGATTGATTTGACTCTACTGCACGTAGGAACAGCTCACTCTCTCCTCTTGCTCGTCTCCCTCAGCCTCACGTAGGAGCACTCCTCTCTCCCTCTCGTTCAATCGACCCCGCACGTGAGTAGCCCATATGTGATCGTTCTCTCCCATCTCCGTCTCTTCCTTTCTTGTTCACTCAGCCACACATAGGAAGACTCCTCTCTCCCTCTCGTTTGCTCAACTCCGCCCCACGATATGACTCGCACCAGTTTGTCCGCATGAACCCGAGGCTGCCTGCGCCTGCTCTCGCTTGTGTTTTGACTCCATCCCCAGATCGCCTTCCCTCGTGTCTATCTTCAATCCCGACCAACACTTCTGTGCGTCCCACAAGCCTTCCGCGTGAGCACTTCAATCCGCACGCTCGCCCTCTTCATGCGATCCGACCAGAGCTTCTCAACCTGATTGCTGCTTTGCCCGACCTTGTGATTCGTGCTCCATTATTGTCCTGCGACTTCAGTCTTCAGCCCCGTTCTCCACTGCCCGTGAGGATGGAGATTTAGGAGTGAAATATTTGTAAAAAAAGAGAAGAAAATGAAATAAAAATGTATAATATAACCGGTCTTGATGATTTGCGCTGTTGTATCTTTGATCCCGCCAGGAATGTCTAATTTGATGCCCTTGCACCATTGTATCTTGAAGATCTTGATCCATTGAATCGTTGATCCGGGCAAAAAGAACAACAAGTGCCATCACAACCTCCCTTCACGTGGAGTGCACGCAGGGAGGCTACCAAATTTTCAAAAAAAAAAAAAAATGTATAATAAAATAAATAAACAAAGAAAAATATGAAGCAACATGTACCCGCAAATTTGAAGACCCGCGTCGTTGCATCTTTGATCAGGGAAGGATGTTTAATTTGAAGCCCCCTATGCCATTGTCTCTTTGATCCGGGCGGGAAGAATTTGATTTGAAGATCTTGTGCCGTTGTATCATTGATATGGGTGAGAAGAACAATGGCAAGTTACGAGGGGGGATGTCGGGAGGCTTCCGAAATCGAAACTGACAAAGAACCCTCATATAATTAAAAGAAAAATCATATACATCTCATTTAACTTTTTAACCAAATGTATAAAAGGACCTTGCTATAGGGAAACCAATCGTGTCATCGATGAGATTGAAGAGAAGAGAAGGCACTATTATTAGTTTTCCTACTTTTTTTTTTTATTAGTTTTCCTACTTGAAATCTTGCTAACATAGAATTACATATGTTTATTTATGCTCATCTACTATCAATCGAGTATCTTATTGATGTTACAAAAGAGCAAGCAACACTTAACTATGTGATTTAGTGGTACATAACTTATATGAAACATAATTGTGCATTTTAGTTTCAAATGACATTAAATCAGTCATTATTGGCATCACTTATGTTTCACCTCATGCACACAACCTCAATATGCCTTATGCTTGCATGCACTAACACTTAAAAAAGGGTGAGGGTGGGGGTGCAGGGGAGAGAATAAGAGAAAAGAATGTTGACCCCATGTGCTTATTTGACTCATATGTGCTTTACTATTAATTGGATGATTAAAACTAATTATACTGTTTTATCTAACATGATTTTCCAATTGTTCCTACATGTGAATGTGGTAGACCAACTTCGTGATTATTTACTTAGAGTTGGATCAACTTGGAGTTTATTCATTTAGAGAGAGAGAGAGAGAGTAAAAAAAATTTATCAGCAAGACTTAAGTACAATGTACCAAGTCTAGTGTCTGAGTATTATATTTTTAATTTGGTGTCCACTCCTTTTGAGTTCAACAAGCTCTTACTGATGATGACATCCGACCTTGGAGAGTCTACTAGAGGCATAGCCAACAATCTACGACTACGATCGCACCGATTTATTTTTGAGTCATTATATGTATTTGATTTATTTATGCAATTTTCTGTTTGTACCCTCACTTGAGGGGATAATCATATGTAAGCCCTAAGGGCATGTTGGTCTTTTTATTTTTTCTTCATTATATAAGGTTATTTAAAAGCCACCTTCTCCTCTTTTGAGATTAATGAATGTTATTACAAAAATTTTTTCGCACTTGTGTGTTTTGGGAGAGCTTGAGAGTTCTTGGTGAGATTGAAGTCCCTAGGTGAGGGCACCGCAATACCCACCAATCGCAGGACGCGTCCGGGTTCGTGGTCGACTTCCTCCTTCCCCTTCTTCCTCTCCCTCCCTACAAATGACCGTCCATACTCCCCTTCCTCCCCTCTCGGCCGAACCCCACCAACACCCCTACACTCTCGGCCGGCCCTCTCCACCCCCCCCCGCCCCCCCCCCCACCCCAAGCCACCGGCCTTAAAGCTACCCCCCTCCCTCTCTAAACCGCCGGTCTCAATCCCAACCCAACCCTAGCCGCCGGTCCCAACCTCCATCCCCTTGCCTCCAAATTTCAAATACCTCTTTACTATTTCCATTTATGAAACAACATAGATTAGGAAAGTATTTGATTTCAAATTCCAATCATTTTTTAATTTGAAATTATTTCCTAATATTAGATGGCCGATTTTAGAAAAGTTGCTTAAATTAAATCTAATTAAATTTCTAATTGGATTTGATTTAAATCAATTATTCCTAATTTAAGATTCCAATTAAAGCAAGCATTAAAACCCTACCCAAACCCCTTTTACCCAATGATGCCACCGGCCCCCCTCCCTCTCTCTCCCTATCACACATTAACTCCCTTTCCTTTTGAAGCTCTAATCAATTACCCATTAAATAAGCTTTCTTCCTTTCCCTCCTCAACTTTTGAAATTCAAAATTCAAAACCATAAAACCCCTCCTAAACAAATCTGAAATTAAAATTTAGATTTTAGATAATAGCCCTCCCCTTCTCCCTTAGCCACCGCCCCTTCTCTCTCTCGTCCCTCCCCCCTCTTCTTCTTTGCTCTCCTCTCTCTCTCAAGTAATTTCCCTCCCTATTACTTCCCAATTTAGTTTCGGAGTTTCAATTTTCTGAAATTAATTTCAGATTTATTTCACAAACATCTTCTCTTTCAGAATTCACCAAGTCCGCGAAGTTTCATGTGCTACTTCCTTTTCCCATTGTATTGTGGATCCTGAACAATGCCACGGGTTTGTTTACAATGAGCAAGGCCAAGTCGACATCCTCAAATGCCTTTCTTCGATCTCAACTTGGAGATTGATCAAACCATGGAAGAATACGTCGAGAGGATCGTTTTCACCCTCGCCGAAGCCATCGACGAACAACTCTCCACGGTTCAGTGGCAGTTTGCGTCCAAACCTTGATCAAGGTGAATCTTTCCTCCAAATCTTTTTCCTCTCTAAGTCTTACCTTAATTTGTGGGATCACTAAGATCATGTAATGTTTTCTCCGTCTTACCAATCCTTAAAAGAGTTGAGTGAGGGACCCAACTAGTGACTATTCTCATTGTTAATTTAGGGATTTATCGTGAAAAATCCTTCATGTATGCTATGCTTGAATACTTGATTATTTTGTGATCTTAACTTCTAGTTGTGTAACTTGGTCTAAGCTAGTTTCACCCCTTTCATTTTCTTTCATTGTTTAAATCGCTACAAGTTTAATACTTAATATTACTCTCATCTAAAAGCGTGCAAATTCTTGTTTAACATTGCCTAGGCATTTAAGTCCTACATCACTTACTCTATCCTGTTCGTTTATTTTGTATTTAATATGGTGCATAGTTATGCATGTATGTCTGCAAAATATCATTTACATACCCAAGTTACATAATGGCTTTCTCTTAACAAATTCTTAAGGTCAAAAGTAACTTCAAAATGTGGAAATTGGAGTTATTGGTGTAAAATCATTATCATCTCCTTTTAAATTGTAGTTGTTGGGTGAGTAGGTCAACATAAGAATTTTATCTAAGTTCTGCATGTGCTTCGATTTTTTACTTCAAGCTCCTAAATGCGAGATCTGAGAATGCTTCATGGATTTGTTAAAAAACGTTCAAACACCTCGATGATGGCCGTGTTGACAGAAAATCTTAACAAGAGGGGATCTCATATTTTTCAAATGCTTTCCAATTTCCATGAAAAAATAAAAAAACATTTAAAAAAGTTCAAATAACCCGATGATGGCCGTATCGACGGAAAATTTCAACGAAAGGGGACCCTGCCTTTCAAAATACCCATGAACCTTAAAGAAAATACAAATATTTTAAAGTGATTGCAAAATCATCCTGATTATGGCCGTGATGAATGTAAATCTCAATCGGACGGTCAATGCAAATCCTATTCAAGTTTAAAAATCTAATATTCGTTAAACTCTAAATATTTAAATATAAATTTAATCACCAAAATTTAAAACTAAAATGGTTTGACGAGGATGATGAATTGAAAAATAACTTCAACTCACAAAGAGCAGATGTCTTGTGGAATATATTACTACAAGTCATTTTCAGTTGATTCATCGCCAGCAGGGCATGACACTTACCCTCTGATAGTGTGATTTTGCTGCAAAATGACACTACTGTATTATGGTCATGGTAAAAGCTTGTATGTTCTCTAATTGTTAAAAGCCTATTGAGTAATGAATTATATAGCGCACTCTAGAAAATATAAAACTCTATTTTAGCTAAGGTTGACTTAAATTCACCATCTTTGACAAACATCCACTCCAGGTTTAAATGATATTCTTAGACAAAGTAACTCATGGCTGTCGACAAGATTCCTTCTGTCAGGTCGAGTTGACTACATCCTCTGATTAAATAGATCAAGGATCATGATAGCTCAAGATAATAGAACTATGGGATTTTGATCGGGCCCATCATTATTCCCCCCATCACCATTTTAAGTTTATGGCGATGAATTTCAAATCTTAAAAAAAAAAACCCAAAAGTTGTTGTTACTATATGCTAGGTGTTCAGTGCCTATCTCACGACTAGTCTTAATTGAAAGTTCTCTCTCGTTATCGGGAGGGGTAATTAACCATAGGGGTTTGCACCTATGGGAAACAAGAACTCAGATCATAAAGTCCTCATGAAATGAGGGCGAAATCTTTGGACAATGTCTTATCTAAAATCCAATCTCCCTTTTGAAAATTTATCCTTGAACTTAAATCTGTTAAAACTCTCCCCGTCAATAAAACAAGCGCAGAGAGGTCAGGGCGTGAATTTTCGGAGCCCACAACTACCAATTCCGCTTGCAATTAATACAAATTCTTTAGGTAAAAAAAGGGTTTAACTCTATCTATAGAGTGTCACCGTGACTGAATTATAAAATCTTTCACGAAAGGATATTATATTTCAGTCATTCACACAAACTTCCCTTGCTGTCTTTTTGTAGAAAGTTCACATATGTTGCATGAAGTAAGTTTATGATGCTGCATCCTGCTATGTTTACTTGATTTATTTCAAGTCTATGTGATGGAGGCTGCACAGAACTCTTTATATTGTTAAGATATAAGATCCTGAATCTTTCAAAGCCTCCTACCCATCTTCTAGGAAGCTTTCTATTAACCTGAATTTCTGTATAAGTTTACTGGAGAAATTCTCAATCTTTCCTCGTCTCTCTTCTGTTTTCCTTTAGACACGTGTTATTTTAATACTGCATATACCTCCTTTTAACATCCGTTGTGATCAACATGATCATCCATTGTAATTATTGGGGTCACCTTTACAAAACCTTACTATTTCAATAAGGGGGCTACTGAATTTGACAGTGATTCCAGTTTATGAATCCTAGTGAATTTTGTTGATGAGTTAGTTTGGGCTTACTTTTCTCTTTACTCCCATTTCAGTTTCAGATTATCATTTATTGATGCTTATTCTTAGATAACTTTAGTAGATACTGTCCTGATATATTGATTGTGTTGATTGATTAGAAATGATGCAGGATTGGCAGCTGCCGAGTTAGCATTGGCTGTTGAGAAACATGTATTGGACTCTGGTTCCTTTGACACGGTCGGCACTGTAGGTATGATCATCAGATGATTTATAAATCACATTTTATGGTAATATAAAATATTCTACGCCTGCCAGCATTGAGGACCACAAAAGGCACATGCATTTTTTTTCATGACAAAAAAGTAATCAACAAATACTTGAATTTCTGAATTTTTATTTTCTCAAAAACAAGAGAAGTTTTAAACTATTTCATGCTTTGTTACTATAATTTCGACTAGTAATTCAATTTCTCTTTTCCTTGCCTTTACATGCGATGCATCTTATGATGCTAGTTTGTTCATAATTTTTTGCTTTTTCTTATATGGATTGCTTATGGACTATAAAAACTTTTTGTAGGTGTTATGGAACTACACCCTGGAGCAGTCAACAGCATACCCAGTAAAACACATGTAGAAATTGGTTTGCCCCTTGCTTAGCAAAGAAAATCTAGTATTTGCCATGTATTCAAGATTTTCCAATATTTGCTCTCTTTCTTAGAAGTAGCACTTTAGAGTCACCATAATTTGCATGCAGCATGTCTCAATTTATTTGCAAAAGTTCTATCCTAATGACGAGTGTAGGAATGAAAATTAAATCAAAATGGTCAAATCTATACGCTCCTAAGACTATAACTAACGAATAAGCCTTCATACCATGATGGGTTATTGGGTCAAATAATGTAAATAGAGTTTTTACAAGGACCTAAGGCTTGGGAATAACTAAACTCCATAAGTTTGCTATCCAAATTGCTGTTGTTGTCCCTTGCAAATGACATAAAGAGACATGTATTAGTCTTCAACATATTCAAGTGTAGAAACTATCATGCATATTAATATAATGATGATATATGGAATGATGATGCATATGAGCAATTGTTAGGATAGATCAATGCATGCTAAATATTATTTATGATATCATAAAAGGAAGATTTATTAATAAATAAATTATCAATAAAGAAGTTGTGTTTAAAGTGATTTGAGGATTGTTGAAAATCATATCATATATATACGTTCGAGTGTTCTAATGGTCGATGGGATGAATGATTAGATTGGCAATCTAACATATGACAAAAGAAAATTTATTAGACAATTCTATAAATATTGAGCCATTAAGAATATATATATATATATATATATATATATGAGGTTTTCATATTAAAAATTGATAAAATGAAATAATTTTAAGGGTTAATGTTATGATTGAATATAAATTTTTTTGTAATTTAAATTAGTAATGAACGTTTATCAAAATTTGATTTTAATATCAATATTACATGTCAAATGATTTCAATAACATCTCTTTTTACATTTATTTCATTAACGTGTTTTATTAAGATGCTCATATCAATGACGTTCCAACAAAATTTTCTAACTAAAAAAAAAAAGAATTATTACCAAGTGGAATTAAAGGAAATATACCTTGAAATCCACGAGCATTATCTTCTTATAATAGCCAATCCACTTTCCCGTCTTTCTCCAGAACACTTTCTGGCGATCTTTGGAATGTTTGCTGCATGCAAACTCAACTTTCATATTTGTGTAATAGAAAATAATCATATTAGAACAAAACTCTGTACTGTCTCTTCCATAGCATAAAACTTGTTATCAAATAACATATTACAATATATGTATATAGGCAGAATTATCGTTAAATATCAAAATCACATTACATCATTGATTATCTGAAAATTATATGCACAGTAAAAGAAAATATCAACATGGGGGGAAAATTAATTCCAATCTAGCTATTAATCTTTCAAATTTTAAGAAAGTGAAAAATAATAGATGGCATCTGGTTTTGTTAGTCTCCAAGAGAGAAGGATTCATTTCGTCAGCCATCATTTATTTCTTAGGAGAAGAAAACCAAGGAAATGAATCTTAATGTGCTATTCTTATTTTTCTAAAGAAGAATAAGTGAGGACCACTTGCTATTCTCAGCTGTAGGGGGAAGAAACTCCAAGAACAGCTGCCGTTTCTGGTTTTGATAGAGAAATCAAGTTGTAATAAGGTTTTAATCTTCAGGGAGAGGAACATATTTGTTTTCAATTTGTAGAGGGGGACTAGCTTGTGTTTGCTTTCGATTTTCAAAGAGGAACCGAGCTCCACTAGTTTCCTACGATTGCTGAGAGGAAGAACTCCACTCCTTTGGTCTCTCCTGATTATTGAGGGGAAGTGATTCTCTACAAACAACGATGGTCACAAACAACTTACAAAATATTTTACCGGGGATTATTTGTTTTCAAAGGAGTGATTAGGATTTTCTTAAGTACAATACATGTTGGGTTTTCTCTTTGAAGTTCGGTCTTAATTCATTGTTGAATTTTATAATTCATTGCTGTTTTATTGCTAATTCAGATTTTGGTCGATTATTTAATTCTTTTTTTGGAGTGAATAAATTATATTTTGTTTAATCTCTTTACATAAAAAAAAAAAAATAATGTTTTTTATGCATTACTAGTTGTGGATTTTTTTTTTTTTTTTTTATTTTTATACGGTATCTCTTCCCATGTTTTATTTGAAACCCTATGGTCGTATCCATCCTACACCCATGGATACTACACCGCATGGGATTCATCAGATATTGATATCATTGGTACGCTTTCCCTGTGTGAGGGTGTGAGGTAAGTTGATGTAGGGACTGGATTGGGGGTGCACAGCTTATGGGTTAAACTTGTCTTTGTCATCTTAGAATCAGTTTATGTTTTTTTCAGACAACTTCTGCTGCTAGATGCCATTCGAGCTAACTTTTCTAGGGAGCTTGATGTTGATTTCATCTTTTTCTTCCAAAAAAAAAAAAAAAAAAAAAAAAGGGGAACTCGATAGCATCTCTTGTTGAATCCAAGTATTCTGTTATGAAAGTTAACATGCATTACTTCTTACCAGATACACGTGATATTGATGAAGAAAGAAGGAATGTTGTGGTCAACAAGATTCATCAATCTGCTGTCAGGATAGCTGAGAATCGTGGTGTCAAACTGTCAAAATTTAAAATTGTAAACCAGGATCCTCCTGCTCTCTCATCTAATTCAATAATCTCCACAATGAGAGAAGCAACAAAGCAGCTGAATGTCAGTTTCAAATTAATGATTAGCAGAGCATACCATGACTCCCTATTCATGGCCAGGTATAAAGCTAAACTTCTCCATTGTTGATTTTTCATACTAGTACAAAAGCTTTCTATTTCATGCAATTTTTTGTTTCAAAATTTTTTTTTTTAAATTTTTCTGAAAAGAGTTCCTCGAAATAGTATTTCTCTCTATATTATTCTATCCTTATTCTCCTGTTTCATCTGTTCTTGTATAACGTAGGCTAGTTGAGTGTATAGATGTGTTGGATTGTCCTTCTACTGAAGTCTAGTGCAACATCATCATTGGGAGGATACCAGAATGCTACTTTATTGTATTTTTTATTAAGAGCTCATTGGTTGCGTGCAACTAGAAAATATGTTTAAGAAAAGAATGATTTCTTTTTCATTCATATTTGTGTTTGAGAACAAAATCAGCGCATTTGAAGGGATTTTAAGGTATTTTTTAAGGCAAACCAACTTCTATTAAGATTCAATGAAAATAGAACAATACCGAACAATTGCATAGCATTACTAAATTAAAAAAAAATACTGGCAAGGCCAACATGTGACCAATGAACCAACTTTTTGAAGCGAAGAACCACAAGGGTTATGAATAACATTCAACTATTATACTTTTGGAAGTAACGATATATTTTATGGATTTTTTTTTTCTCTTTTGATATATAGAATTTGGAACTTCCTTTCGATTTCTCTGCCTGGCGCTTGTACCTGCGGCTGGCTATTTCTATTCTCGCGTGGTCCCTTCGGGTGCTGCTCCTGGCGTTGCCTGTTGGTCTTTTGTCTCCCTTTTCCTGGTTGGTTCGGCAGGTGGCTTTTTGGGCTGTTTGACTTCCTATTTTCACCTATATATATGAGTTATTTTGTGACATTTTAGGGGATGGATTATGAGTGATTTTTGGAGCACAAAACCTAAGGGTTTCTTTTTTGATAGCTTGCGAGCTATGCCTCTTCGTCTTCTCCTTCTTCTATAACTTCGTCTCGGTTTTCTTATCTATTTCTTCTCGCCGCAAGTGACCAGCCCATCATTATCTTTCTTCTCAAACTTTTAAAAATATTTAGTCGTATTTGAAGGTTGTTGTTATTGTTGTTGTTCCTTTTAGGCGTTTTTATGTTCTAAATATATGAGTTGTAAGGTGTCGTTGGAATGTGTTGTCCTTGTTACTTAGTATTTTGTCTATTTAGCGTGTATTTTCTTATTTTGGAAAGGAATACTATTTTGTTTGCAATCTTAGATTTTTTCAAATTTTTTATTGCATCATTGTCCATCAGCTCTTCTTTGTTAGAAATGCTAACATTATAGCCAATAGAAACAGATTTTGGATCAGTTGTATTCCCAACAACGGGATGATCATTATGAGCTAAAACTCAAGGTGCACATAGATCATTAATCTTGTGAGCAGGTGTGGGGCCATTCTTAACCATTGGGCTAGCAGTATGGGAGGGCACTTATTTCAATGAAGGATCTAAAGTTGATAAAAAACATTTATAGATAAATCATAGTAGAAGGAAACAAACTATCGCCATTGCATTTCAAGAAAGATTTTTATCATGAATGTTCAACATTGCCACTATTATTGGGAGATTTTTGTAGCTATGTTTTTTCCCTTAAGCATTTTGAAATGTTGTGACCATAAAATTTATAAGAAGAAGAATAAGAGGAATGCTTTTAAACTCAATCTTCTATCACTAGCTACAAGTTCAAGAACTAATTCAAATTTCTTTCTCCAAAGGAGAAGTAGCATCCATTTCGATTTGTACCTTAACCATTGGTAGCTTGAAACACTTGAAGCAGTTTACCAAAAAATTGAGTCAAGAGAGAACAAAATGGATTGGTTAAAGTAGTGAATCCAAAGACATAGAAAAATGACCCACATTGTAGTTAGAGAAGATTCATTGGAATAGTCAAAATGAGATGACCACTTTGGCATACATGGTAGGAACCCATCCACATAATTTGACCTCCAAGAGAAGAGCCTCAAGTAATTTGATTTTTAGGACAACTTAATAAAAATATGACAAGAATCTATATGTCCAACAATATAACCTCCAACCAAATGCAAATCAGTTATGAATCTATGAATAATCTCCATATTAGGATGACCCCATGAAAATTTGCCAAATAGGGTGAAAGAGAAAGATGATGCCAATTTCGAGATCTCATTGTGAGACAAAATAAGAGTTGATTTATCTTGAAAGGAGGATGATAGCTTGTGATGAGATGTTATAGGCTCTTGCCTGAAAATGTGGGGAGATGAGAGGAGTTAGTTAGAGGACTAGAAACCTCATCCCCTCTAATAGCCTTGATAAATCAACAAGGAGCATAAGGAGATTTCATAGTGGGAGAAGCATTAGGAGCTAGAGCAGCCATAGGTGAAAAATCACATTGCAAGAGTGACTTAGGAGTAATCGATGGAAGAAATGGAAGCCGTCTTCTGTATCTACGAGCTTCTCAGACTCATAAATTTTTCTTGAAGTAAATTTTGTTTGTTTTAACTAAATTTTCTCTAAAGATTAGATTATGGCTTATTTATATTTGAGGTCAAAATTTTTTTATATTCGCAAGCTTCCATAGTTAGTTAATGCTCATGAGAGAATACTTTAGACAAAGGAGGTTCCTTAGCCTCATATTTTTAGTTAAATTTGACTATAATTGAATGGGGAATGGTTGGGGGGTGGATGTGTAGACCCTACAAGAGCTCAAAGGCATAACATATGCATTAATTATTCCTGAATTTTCAGTTTTACTTGAAGAAGCCTGTTTAAAAAACATATGATTTTGGGTTTGCATAGTTTTAATAGTGGGGTTGTAAGTATTAGAGTCTTGAGTTTAAATTGAGTTGGGCTCTATGAACCTAATATTTTATTTAACGGATGTGTTGGCTTAGTCCAGGCTTGAATTTACTTCGATGGGGTTTAAATTTATTGGAATACTTATAGTTTGATTTAATGAGTTTGTTGGCTTTGTGCTGACCTAAATTAATTGGGATAGGCTTACTTCTATTGGAAGGCTCAAGAAATTGGATAGCCCAATAGTGTCACTTACAACCCCGTCAGTGAGGAAAGCCTGGTGGTAGGTCATACATCTCAGATATTAGAATTGACCCTATTGGAAGGCTCAAGAAATTGGATAGCCCAAAAGTGTGACTTACAATCTCATGGGTGAGGAAAGCCTCGTGGTAGTTTATACATCTCAGATATTAAAATCGACCCTAGATTAGCTTTGTTGACCTCTGTTAATCAAAACAAAACAGAGGAAATATATATAAAAAAAAAAATCGTACCTATTCGCACGATCCTCCCACGTCGCTGGCACGCCGGGGTCGTATCTCCCACGATCTCCTTAATGCCAAAACGAGACAAGCCTTCGGCCTTATTCGACTCTTCCTTCCCTCTCCCGCTCTGGCTCTCTCATTCTCGCTCTCCATCTCTCGCTCTGCTCTCTCGTTACGGCCGAATTTTCGGAGCCCACAAGCTTGAACTTGGGTCCTTGACATATCTGTTTGATTAATCAAGTCAATATTTAATGTTTTGAGTTAAGATCCTAGAGGCTTTTTAATCATTTAGGCCTTGAAGTGTTATTTTGATAATTTTACCATCTTAGCGGTGCATTATGAACGTCTAGGTTAGTCAGGGGTCTATTGGAACTCCTTGCACAAATTTTAGACTATTTCAAAGTTCAAAGGTGCATTAGCGCATTCCTTTGTTTTTTTTTTGTTTGCATGCTCATCAGTGCATGTCAATCTAAGATGCGTGTCCTTTATATAATTTTTTTTAGCATTTCATAGGATCTCCTAATTATTCAAAACACATTGTGGGGAGGTTTGGTGCTTTACATAATGTATGTATTCGCTTTTTTTTTTTTTTTTTTTTTTATTTTTTTTTTTTTTTGTTATAAGTGTTGAGGCATTGCATGTATCCTTATCGCCTGCTAGGATTTACATTCATTGGCAGAAGGTTCTGTATCTATTAAATTCTAATTTGCCGCTTGTCTTAATTTGTCCTAAAAGCTCTAACAGCCTGGGAATATCTGCAGGATATCACCTATGGGCATGATATTCATTCCATGCTATAAAGGTTTGCTACACTTATACACCCAATTTTTTGTTTGCATATATCATTAGCAGATTATTACAAGGAAAATAAATTACTTTAGCACTTTGATAAAAGATGATTATATTTCTGTTTATTTTGAAGGAATTGAACGATAGGAAAAGGAAGCTTGATAATGATAAAAAAAAATGATTGAAATTATTTTTCATCAGTTTGTTTAGATGATGAGAAATTGAGTAGTTTTTGTCTTTTACTTCTTTTTTAGTTTATTAGATTGGCGAAAGGGCGAGTAGGGCATTGTCAACTGCCACAAAAATTTTTATTATTAGCTAAATGAAATTTTCCATATGTTCAGATTTACTAGCAAATTTAATTACCTTTTAAGTACATAGAAACAAAATACCTAATGCAAAACTTTGAAGTAAAATACATTTGCTTTCCTTTTTAATATTTTTAAACTTAATAGGCTCTTAGATTCCCATAGATCTTGACTATTTCTTTTAGAAAAGGGTTCAAAATAACCTTCCAATCATTCGTATATGATCAATTTTATTTCAGAGTATCACATATCTCCAATATAATCCTTCGACTAAGCAAAATTGATCCGAAATAATCTCTTGGAGATTAAATTTGGATTAAAGATTAATTGGGATTCAATTTGCATCCCATTTTCTGTTAATTTATATCCAATAGATTATTTGAGAGATCAATATTGTACAGGTAATGAATTAAATTTGAGAAATGCCATATATTAAAATGATTTGATTACCTGTTCTAAAATTTGCTCATATTTTTCTACAGACATAATGTTAAAGTTTTTCTGATCATCTTTGCTTGGCTGTGCAGGTTATAGCCATAAACCCGAAGAGTTTGCCTCTGCTCAGGACATTGCTAATGGCGTAAAAGTGTTAGCTCTCACCCTGGCAAAACTATCTGCTGAATGACTTGCACTGTGAACAATTTCTTAAGGCAAGTTTCACTTCAGAAAATAATATTTGCTCATACAAGTTAATTTATATTTTTCTGTTTTAATAATTCCAATAAAAAAAAACAAAAAATTGGTTGGAGGTAATCCCAAAGCTGTAAATAATGGAATAAACTATTAAAGAGCTGCAGGATAATTTCTTCTTCTTGTTCTTCTTGAACTGGGGTTCTAAGACTAAGAATACTGTACAATGTAATTTATTTGAGTTCTGGAACTACCTTATCCAGAATTAGAGTGCTACTTGAATCTGCTTAATAATATCCTCCATGATGTATTATAATAATAAAATAAGTAATCTTTATATGTAAGATAATTTGGCAACATCATAGATCCACTCTACCTCATGAGAAATTATTCTGTGCAGTCACCGGACGGCTCGGAGGTGAATTAGGATGCGCTACGTAATCCTGTATACAACAGTACACAACTAAAAAGTGATGGAGTGCGTCTTGATTTGCATCCGGACGGCGTCTGATGATCGCACATAATAATTTCACCAAAGAGGGAAGATTTCCCCTTTATCAAATCACTTATATTTTTCATTGTAACCTATTTTAATTTCAAATTGTCAACACTGTTAAGTGATATAATTTTCTTATGAAATTGAATTGTTGTTTGCAATTGTTTCTTTTGTAAAGGCATTTGAAGTTACTGTATTTCTCCATTATTAGTAAATAGGATTACCATATCTTAATATTGAAAGGCCGAGGTTTCATTTGGGATAATTTTTTTATTGCGTTTTAAAACATTTTTTTAGTATAAAAAATTTGATTTTTATATCAGAATATTGTTACATAATTTTATAGAACTCATACTCGAAAACAAAAGCTGTCACCATCTCTTCATGCTTGAATACAAACTGTTTACTTAGAATCATAGTTTATAATAATGATTATTAGTAACTGTACATAAAGTAATTAAATATTAAATTGAAGTTAAGATCAATAAGTATTTGTGTTATCTTAGTGTTAAACTTGAGTTAGTAAATCATTTGTTTGGTTGGCTCGAAGATTTAGGCTTTGTTTGGGACGGCTTTTTTACTGCTTTCTAAAATGGAGTTTTAATACAAAAATAAAAAACTTTGTACTAAAATTTCGTTTTTGAAAGCAGTAAAAAAGCCGTCCCAAACGAAGCCTTAGTTATAAACTGTTTCCTTACGATAATTGAGTACAAAATTAAAAAATTTAGTTGTTTATTATTAATATCAGTATTTGACATAATTATGCTTTAATTAAGATCAAATTTTGATATGAATATCCTTTTCCATTATTTTTCATTTTCTAAATTTCAATCATAATTTAAGCTAACATTTATCAAATTATTTTTAAAGTCAATTTTTATACTGTTGTTTAGGTCATTTTCAACTGAAAATCTCATTTTTCACTCAAAAATATAGTAACACTCTAAAATACTGTAACTCATTTTCAATTAAATTCTATTTCATAACACAAAAAATTAGTATTCTTAGTTTATTCTTTCATATATTTTTTATATTTATTTTTAATCATAACTTTGTATTTATTAATTTTTTGAATTAGACATATTTATAATTTGTTTAACAAAAATAAATCTAACTCTACAAATTAATTTGGAATGCGAGTTTGAAGCTGGATTTCGTCTAGAACTCATGATTGAAAACAAAAGCTGTCACTATTTCTTCATGCTTGAAAACAAACTGTTTATTTAGAATAATATTTAATAATTATTATTATTAGTAACTGTACATAAAGGTAATTAAATATTAAATTGAAGTTTAATTAAGATCATTAAGTATTTATGTTATCTTAGTATTAAACTTGAGATAGTAAATCAATTGTTTGGTTGGCTCGAAGATTTAGTTATAAACTGTTTCGTTATGATAATTGAGTACAAAATTAAAAAAATTTTGTTGTTTATTATTAAGATCAGTATTTGACATAATTATGCTTTAATTAAGATCAAAATTTGTTATTGTTGCGTCCTGGAGTCTTCGCGGCGGTAGAAAAATATAGAATTTAACGTCTTAACATTGTACGAAGATCTGTCACGCACACAAATAGGAGAGAGGGTGTAGCATTTATGAGACACCAAGATTTTTATGTGAAAAATCCCTGAAAAGGGGGAAAAACCATAGAGCCTAGATCAGTTTGAATGAATTCACTATTATTTGCAATCGATTACAAATGAGACCCTTCTTTAGGGGAAAGTCTTGGCTTGATGTACATCTTATAAAGTATATTATATGGTATGAATACAAAGAATCATTGTTGATGTGTTTGTTTGGTCGGAAGAACTGTAGTTGGTGGGCGATGTAAGTTAGAAGGACCGTAGTTAGCGGGCAACGTAGGTCAAAAGAATTATAATCGGTGGGTGATGCAAGTCGGAAGGATTGTAGTTGGTGGACGACATAAGTTAAAAGGACTGTAGTCGACGGACGACACAGGTTGAAAAGAACTGTAGTCGGCGGGAGACAAAGGTAGGAAGGACTGTTGTCTAACAACGGAGGTCAGAAGGACCGCGTCAGATAGAAATACAATTATGGATAGAAATCCAGCATCGGATAGATGTCCGGTGAAAGTCCGACAACGACCAGAATTCCTGCGTAGGGTAGAAATATGACGATTAGTAAAGGTCCGGTGTTGGATAGAAGTTCGAAGTCAGTTGGCGGGTGGGGAGAACTCTGGCGTTAGATGATATTCACGCAAAACTACAGAGTCACTTGGAGATCGGGCGGAGTTTCGGCGTCACTTGGAAGTCGGACAAAACTCCAGCATTACTCGAAAGTTGGGCGGAACTCTGACGTCTGTTAAAAGTATGGCGGAACTTCGACGGTGGTAGAGGAGGAGCTTATTTCCTCCTCTTCTTCCCTTCTCCTCTCTTCTTGCTTGTGTTTTTTCTTAAGAGAAATGAGGGGCTACTTATAGTTTTCTGAGCGTGGCATGACTCATAAATAGGGGGAGGATCAAGGGCAATTGTGGAGTGGTTTGGATGGACGGTTGATATTGAATCCCTTGATCGTGGATCGTTCATCAGACATTTGAAGGTCTTAATGATATCAGAATTCAGCGATCTTGGGCTCGTTGGATTTGTTTCGTCGAGCCACTCGATTCGACTATAAGCATGTTATGTTTTGAAACCATTTGGTAATCCAAGTTGTGGTTTGAACCTCTCGAATGTGATTCGGGCATTTGATTTGAATCATTTTGCGCTTGGATTGAGTTTACTTTGGTGTCGTTGGGTTCGTATTTCGAAGACAATCAGTTCGACTATAAGTTTGCTGAAATCGGAGTTCAAATGATCCCATATTTAATTTTTGAAGTTTCCTACTTGATTTTTGCCTCGAATTTCGTGTCAGATCAAGATATTTTTTTTTATGATATATCAGATATGAATATCCTTATCCAGTATTTTTCATCTTCTAAATTTCAATCATAATTTAAGCTAACATTTATCAAATTATTTTTAAAGTCAATAACTTTTATATCTTGTTTAGGGCATTTTCAACTGAAAAACTCATTTTTCATCAAAAATATTGTAACACTCTAAAATACTGTAACTCATTTCTAATCAAACTCTATTTCATTACACGAAAAATAGTATTATGAGTATATTCTTTCATATGTTTTTTTTTTATATTTATTTATAATCATAACTTTGTATTTATTAATTTTTTTGAATTAGACATATTTATAATTTGTTTAACAAAAATAAATCTAACTCTACAAATTAATTTGGAATGCGAGTTTGAAGCTGGATTTCGTCTTAACAATGAAGAACCTATATTTTGAAATAAATATATTAATCTATTTTTCCGATTTAACAAAAAAGGCTGTTGTTCACCTCGCAAAAATGACGCTGACTCTTGTATTAGGTTGGAGCTTATGGTGGACGACAAATGGTTGTTTCACGTTTGGTTGGAGATGGCCTTAATCTCATGTTCCTCAACTTGTGCCATTTTATAATCATTTTATTTTTAGTCAAATTTTTAATTAAGGGAACTTTTTTAAATGTAATTATGCGAAAATATACAACAGTAGCAACAACCTCATGCCATTGTCCCACTATGTGGGGTCGGCTACAAGAATATTTTTTCTCCATTGTGTTTTATTAAAAGTCAAATTCCAGTCTAAATTTAATAAAGAAAGATCTTTTCTAATATTTTCTAACAAAATCTTTTTAGGCCCACCTCTATCTTTCTTAACATAAGTCAAACTAATACCTCTACTTTCCTAATCAGGTCATCATAAGACTGTTGTTTTATGTGACCAAACTATTTAAGGCGACTATCTCTAATCTTATCTTTCATTGGAGCTACTCCAATCTTTCATGTATATGCTAATTTCATATATTGTCTCTAAAGATAAAGCCACTCATCCACTCGAGCATACTTATCTCTGTAACACTTTAAAATTAATGAAAGAAAAAAGAAAACATGTAACAACAACAACAACATCATCATCAAGCCTTTATCCCACTACGTGGGGTCGGCTACAAAAATCCTTTTTCTCCATTGTGTTCTATTAAAAGTCAAATTATCGTTTAAGCCTAATAAAGAAAGGTCATTCCTAATATTTTCTAACCAAGTCTTTTTAGGTCTACCCCTGCCTTTGTTAACATAAGTCAAATCTAATACCTCTACTCTCCTAACCGGGTCATCGAAAGGCCGCCATTTTATATGACCAAACCATCAAAGGCGACTCTCTCTAATCTTGTCTTCTACTGGAACTCTACAAATTAATTTGGAATGCGAGTTTGAAGCTGGATTTCGTCTTAACAATGAAGAACCTATATTTTGAAATAAATATATTAATCTAATTTTCTTATTAAAAAAAAAGGGCTGTTGTTCACCTCACAAAAATGACGCTGACTCTTGTATTAGGTTGGAGCTTGTGGCGAATGACAAATGCTTGTTTCACGTTTGGTTGGAGATGGCCTTAATCTCATGTTCCTCATCTTGTGCCATTTTATAATCATTTTATTTTTAGTCAAAAATTTAATTAAAGGAACTTTTTTAAATGTAATTATGCGAAAATATACAATAGCAGCAACAACCTCATGCCATTGTCCCACTACGTGGGGTCGGCTACAGGAATATTTTTTCTCCATTGTGTTTTGTTAAAAGTCAAATTCCCGTCTAAATTTAATAAAAAATATCTTTTATAATATTTTATAACCAAATCTTTTTAGGCCCACCTCTACCTTTCTTAACATAAGTCAAACTAATACCTCTACTTTCCTAATTAGGTCATCATAAGGCTGCTGTTTTATATGACCAAACTATTTAAGTTGACTATCTCTAATCTTATCTTCCACTGGAGCTACTTCAACCTTCTCATGTATATGCTAATTTCATATCCTATCTCTAAGGGTAAAGCCACTAATCCACTTGAGCATACTCATTTATGTAACACTTTAAAATTAATAAAAGAAAAAAGAAAACATGTAAAAATGATTTTTTTTTTCATAAAGTCTACTGTACGTTTTTTTTTATAAATTTATAATTAGTTAAAGTCTAAATTCTAAAATGAACAACTAAATAATTTATTATAATTTAATCAGCTTTAAAATTATTATGCCAAGTAAAATATGATTTAGCCCTTTTAAAATTTAAATTTACAAAATATATAGGGTACTGCTTGTAACGAAGCAGCCCCTTAACTCCGGTTCTACTTTCTGGGAGACTGGGACTCCGATTCTCTCTCTACCTCGTCCCGACGATGTTCTCGCCGGCGGCTCGCCTCGTGACCAAACGCTTTCATGGCATTCGTCAAATCCTCCGTCAATCTCCTGCAGTGCGGTTATCTCTACTCTACCCGTTGAAAGTTTTCCTTATCATTACTTAGTACCATATTTTCTCTCTTTTTCAGGTCTCAGCCGGAGGCGCTGGAACCTCCAGATCCTACTCTACTGCTTTAAATTATGTAAGTTAAACCAATATTTTGAAAATCCCAATCTATTCCTTTTTTTGTTGTTGGATTTCCTAAAATTTTCCCTTTGGACTTCTCCAATAGCACATTGATTCCCCCGACAACAACCCTAACGCTCTATGGGAGTTCAGCGCATCCAATATGGAGAGGGTATAATTTGCATATGAATTCACATTTTGTTTTTTCACTTCTATATTTTGGATTGATTTCTGAATCAGGAACTTTTTTCTTTTCTTTTCCTTTTTGCACGTTCATGTTCTGCGGTGAATTTTTCTGTTGGGGAAATATATGGAGCTATACAAACCTTATCTTTCTTGATGAAATGGAGTTGTATAATCGTTGGTTTGGGCTTTTCTTTAAATCATCAGAATAGCCTTAGTGTTCTTGTCTGAAATGGAATTTTTAGCATCCTGTGATGAATTCCATCATCCTGTGATGGAATCTTGTTGGTAAAACGAAGCTATTTGTTGTTAGTGGCAGTTTTTTTTTTTTAATTTATAATATTGTTAGTGGAAGTTGTGTGCAAATAAGCTTATAGTTGGCTACATTTTTATTCACCATGTCAAATATATAATAATTCAGTTGATGTTATCTTTTATTGATGTTAGATTCATTTTGTGAATGTATAATTCAGATCATCTTATGTGTTGCCTATAACTTAATTTTTTTTGTCATCCTTCACGAAAATTTTTTGTGAAATCCCAGCCGATGATTTCCACGGGTATCCATGGGAGGCATGCATAAATCAAGCCAATCATGAGACACGTTAATTTCTTTCTATAGTTAGATGGTTGATTTAGGAGGATTGTATTAGGGTAATAATGACTTTATTTGTTTCTTTATTTAATATCATGTATAGATCTGTAAGTAGTGATAGATTTGTGCAATAACGAACAAGTTTCCCCTTTTGAATCTATGAATTCGACATTCTATCAGAGCAAGGTTTGGACTTCATTGCCGTTGCTAGATAATCGTGAGGGGATACTCGGAAGAAGCAGAAAGAAGAAAGCGGCCTTCATTGCCGTATCACCTATTTAGTGTGAGCGCCCTCGGTGCCCGAGCAAAAAATGAAGCTTTTGCAGACGGATGAGATCAAAATCATGAGAAAACTCACACGCAGGGCTCGGACAGAGGAGGAGATCAAATCGTGCGTCTGGATGTAATCCGACATCCGAAACTTTAGCGACATCCAAATCAAAGCGCACAAGAGGTCTTTTGGAGGGTTCTTGTATGAGAGCATAAAAGAAATCGAGCAAACATCCACATACGTATGCTCAACCAGAAGGATCAATTGAGGAAGAAGAGGCCTTTTGTAGGGCGCTCATATGAGAGAATAAAAGAAATAGAGCGGACATCCACCTATGTACGCTCGAATGGAAGTACCAATCGAGGAAGAAGAGGTCTTTCGCGTGTCATATGGAGGAATCAAGCGTTATCTAGTGCGTATCAGCTGGAAGACTCGAGTCAACAATTTATATAAAGGAATCATCCAAACACGATATCTAAAAGACTCGACCCGAGGTGTAAACTTGCTCGTGCGTCTTGATTGAACCGGAGCTATTTTAACAAGCATCGACCTTCATCTTGCAGATAGTTTTCATTGCTATCATTCGAAACCACAATGTCTGAAATTAATCTTCTCAGAGTATGGACCAAATTGAGGATTCTATGATGCATTAAGGACGAGGTGATCTCCATGGTATGCAACCGTCCTATCGCTTAAATGAGAAGAACTGTCAAAAGTGTTGTCAATTTGTGAAGATCTGCTTGAAAGGAAGAGGAAAAATACATTTCCTCCTTGGAGGGGAGTCAAAAGAAAGAGATCCTAATTTTTGGGCATGGGATGAAGCAAACTCCATGATTATGTCATGGTTGTGGAATTCCATGACTCCATAAATTAGTGATACGTTAATGTTCCTATCCACTACAAAAGGAATATGGGATGCCGTTAGACTAACCTTGTCAAAAGTTCGGGATGTTGCCCAAATCTTTGAAATTAAGGTGAAGATGGGAAGCACAAAACAAGGAAACAAGATTGTGACATAATATGTCACTCTCCTTCAAAACTTATGGCAAGAACTTGATCACTACAGATGCATAGAGACTAAGTATTCAGAGGATGCTGCTATCCTGAAAAACTTTATTGAAAAAGATAGATTATATGATTTTCTTGCAGGACTAAATACATAATTTGATCATGTGAGAGTCCAAACTTTGGCAAAGAGGAGACAACTTCATTAAATGAGACCATTTCTCTTATTTCGTGCTGAAGAAAGTCGATGAGGTGTCATGCTAGAGCCAAAGGTTGTTGAATGTTCAATAATTGTGACAACCAGAGAAGCACCATAGAAGGAAAAAGGTAAGGAATCCTAAAAAATTGAAGGCTCCTTTTGATGCAAGACAAAGAAAGAAAAATGCTGGAAGATACACAGAAAGCCTCCCAGTAAAGAATGGAACCAAATAAGTGGACCGAAGACTACATCATAAGCTAACACTACAACAAGTCAGCACATCCCAAAAGTGCAGTCCAGCTTTGGAGAGCTCAATAAAGAAGATATTGATAGGCTAAAGCACTGATATAGCTTAAAAAACTACCTGCATCCTCTTCTTTTGCACTTTCAGTTAAGTTTCCTATATCCATTGGATTAAGTGCCTCTAGAAATCATTTGAAAGTTTATGGATTATTGACTCAGGAGCCATCGATCATATGACACACTCCACTACCCACTTTCTCAATTATACTCCTTGCCCAAGTGATACAAAAATCATCTTTGCTAATGGTTCTCTTACTACAATAGCAGGCCAAAGAGACATAACCTTATTTCCCTCCCTTTCTCTAAAAATATGATCAATGTACCTCAATTTTTCACGAACCTAATCTCCATACAAAAACTTACCAGCGACCATAGTTGTCAAGTATTATTTAACCCTACCTGTTGTTTATTTTCAAGATTAGATATCAAGGAAAAAGATTAGAGTTTCTAAGGAGAAAGGACTGTACTGCCTGAAAGAGCTGAACAAATCTAAAAGCATCAATAATTGCTAATCTATGTTATCCCTAGTTGATAAAAAATCCATTACTTAGCTTCATCATTTTAGATATCCATCTTTTGATGTCTTAAAATATATTTATCCAAAATTTTTTTATAAATTGAGAAATGAATATTTTTATTGTGAAACCTGGGAGTTAGTCAAACACAAAAGAGTTTCTTTTTCAAACAAAAATGAGAGATGTAATATACCCTTCTATCTTATTCATAGTAATATATGGGGACCCAAAAAAATCCGTGATACCTTTGGGGCTCGATGGTTTTTATCCTTTTTGATGACTCCACTCGAGTCTCTTGGATTTTTCTCCAAAAAAATAAATTTGATGTTACCACTATTCTTTCCAATTTTCACACCATGATTTAGAACCGATTCGGGGTAAATATAAGAAAATTTAATTACGACAACGCCAAAGATTACTTTAACTAAACCATATCCTCATACTTTCAAAAAGAATGTATCATTCATGAATCTTCATGTGTTCACACTCCACAACAAAATGGGGCTGCAGAAAGGAACAATGGTCACCATCTAGTCTCCACCCATGCATTTCTATTCAAATACAATGTATCCAAATTCTATTGGGGGAAAGCCCTCCTAAATGCCACATATCTCATAATCCGATCACCTTCAAAAACCTTGGGATTAATAATATCAATGGATATTCTATCATCCTTTTACCCTGGGTTTCCAACCCATAATAACCTTACACCCAGAATCTTTGGGTGCACTGCCTATGTCACTTACCCAACCAAAATAGAGGAAAATTAGATCCAAGAGAACTTAAATGCATCTTTGTTGGATATTCATTCACCCAAAAAGTTTACAAATGCACCCCCCACAAAAAAACCCTTGGATCTGTTGATGTTACTTTTGATGAACAAAATTCCTATTTTATTAATTCTCATCTTCGTAGGGAGATTGAAATTTAGGGGTGTCAATATTTGAGCGCTCGAAAACTCGATTCAAACCTGACCCAAAAATTTCGGGTTAGGGTCAACTCGAACTCAAAACGGGTCAGGTTTGGGTTCAACATTTCGACCCGTTTCAAAAATTGGGTCGGGTTCAGGTTAACCATTTGACCCAAAATTGATCCATTTTGACTCGACAACCCGAGATTGACCCGATTTTGACCTGTTTTAAACACAAAAGCGGAGATTGACCCGTTTTGACCAAAAAACTAGCAATTTTTTTGTTGAAAACGGGTCATTTGGGTGGTGTCGGGCTGACCCGAAGCGGGTCGGGTTCGGGTCCGGAAAATCGACCCGTTTTTAAAAACGGGTCGGGTTCGGGTTGACCCGAATAGTGCTGGGTCAGTTTCGAGTTCGACCCGAACTCAACCCGTGCCCCGAAATTGACACCCCTACTGAAATTGACGAAAATGAGGAGAGTGAGCTTGCCCCTCTTAGCCTTCAACCTCTACCTCCACCTCCATCTCAAACCAATCCACTTAAAATTGAAATCAAAGCCTGAGAAACTGAGGAAAAAGTTGTTATTAGATTTGGGAATGTGTATTCCAGGCGTACAATGCCAAACTATATTCCAGAGTAGATCCAAGAATCTGAATCATCTCTTGAAATCGAGGTAATCTCAAGTTCTCTAAAGAAACCTCCCTTATACCCCATAACCAACTCTATATCCTTCGATAACTTCTCATCTTCACACAAAACTTCCTGGTTACACTAAATGATATTCATATTCTTAATGATATTTCTGAGGTCCTATTTGATGAAAATTGGAAAAGTGTCTTGAAAAATGAAATGCAGACCTTGTAAAAGAAGAATAATTGGGAGATCACCAACCTATCAGTATGAAAAAAATTAATCGGTTGCAAATGGGCATTCTCTAAAAAATACAAAGCTGATGGTACACTGAAAAGGTATAAAGCAAGACAAATGGTGAAATGATACACTCAAACATATGACATCGGCTATCAGGAAACCTTTGCACCTGTGGCCAAGATGAACATTGTCAGGATCATACTCTCACTAGCAGCTAATTATAATTAACATATGGAATAGTTGGCTGTGAAAAATGCATTCCTATACGGGGACTTGGAGGAAGAGATATTTATGGAGATTCTACCAGGATCTGAGGAAAAATCTGGGGGTAACAATGTTTGTAGGTTAAAAAAGGCTCTATATGGGCTAAAACAGTCACCTAGAGTCATGGGGACTATAGTCACCATATACTATTCTTTAAACACTCAGACTCAGAGGAAGTGACAATATTATTAGTTTATGTAGATGATATTATCTTAACTCGGAATGATGAAAAGGATAAAGCTATTCTAAGAAAATGTCTTAACAAGGAATTTGATATCAAAGAACTTGGTAGACTAAAATAATTTTTTGGAATTGAAGTAGCCCACTCCAGCAAAGGAATTTTTATTTCACAATAAAAATATATCAAATATCTTCTTAAAGAAAACAAGGAAAGTAGCTTGTAAACCAGCACCAATACAGTAGAACCAAATCTCAAATTGGGGTAAGTTGAAGACGATATAGATGTAAATAAGGGAGCTTACCAAAGACTTGGGAAATTAAACTACCTTTTCCACACCATACTAGATATTACATTTGCTGTAAGTATGGTTAACCAGTTCATGCATAAATCCAAAAAAAACTCACATGCAAGCTGTAAATAGAATGCTGCACTACCTTAAGGCAAATCCATGGAAAGATTTTTCTTTAGAAGAGACCACAGAATAACCCTAGAAGCTTATATTGATGCAGATTATGCAGGTTCATCAGTAGATAGACGATCTACCTCTGGATGCTGAACATTCCTTGGAGGAAACCTAGTTACGTCGAGCAGCAAGAAACAGAACGTGGTGGCAAGATCTAGTGCAGAAGCAGAATATGGAGTTATGGCCTTGGGAATATGTGAGCTACTATGGATCAGGTTGATTCTAGAAGACCTAAGGATCAAGTAGGAGATCTCATGAAGCTACATTGTGACAACAAATCAACAATCAACATAACTCACAATCCTGTTTAATATGACAGGATCAAGCACATAGAAGTGCATAAACATTTTATAAAAGAAAAAATTAGATAGTGGTCTTATATGTCTCTACCACGTCTCATCAAATGACCAGTCTGCAGACATCCTTACCAAGGGATTGGATAACTCTGCCTTTCTCGGGCTGATTATCAAGTTGGGAATAACATAATTATCTTTCCCAACTTGAGGGGGAGTGTTAAATCTTAGCTGTTGTTTAGTGTTAAATCCCATCCGACAATTTCCAGAGAGATCCTTGGGAGGCACGCATAAATTACGCCAATCATGAGACACCACGCTAATTCCTTTTCATGGTTAGGTGGCTGATATAGGAAGGATTGTATTAGGGTAATAATACTTGATTCTATAATTTATTTGTTTCTTTATTTAATATCGGATCTATAAATAGTGATAGATTTGTGCAATAAAGAACAAATTTTTCCCTCTCGAATCTCCGAATTCGACATTTTTTTATTTTGTCATTGTACTGATTTAGAGGAGTGGAGTAATTTCAACCGTTGAAGTAATTTAATTGAGTATATATAAATTAGATACCGGAATTTATTCTTAAGTGACATTAGTAGAGATCATCTACCATTTTTTGCGCCATCATTGCATCATCATCATCGTGCACTCACAAGCGAAATATTTAGCCATATGGTGCCTTTTTTCAAATTTTAGTTTGGTCATACTGATCAGTTTTTTTATTTAATGTGATTTTGTTAATTAGCAGGGTTTATTTCGTGCGTGAGTCTTTTCAGTGCTACCATCTGTTCTTTTTCTAAGTGCATTTTTCATATTAATGCACTCTTTAAATGTTATACCTATATGATTGTGAATTTTTAAGCTTCTAACTATGTAGATTGATTAATTGCTTTATTAGCTGCTAATTGTGCACTGGTACTTTATGGCAGGATGTGTTGATCACAGTCAACCTCTTGATGTTTAGTTTTATTAATTGCAGATGTAGAACTGTTGCACTATATTTTTATTTTAGAGGCTATTGAAGTATCTACTACATCTTAAATACTTCAGGTCAAAGAGATACTTTCACACTATCCTTCAAACTACAAGCAATCTGCTGTTATTCCTTTATTGGATCTTGCGCAGCAACAGCATGGTGGATGGATTCCTGTTTCTGCAATGAATGAGGTATATCAAGGTGTAACTGATAGAGTTCACCCGAGTTGGTATACCTTGCATTATCATCATCATAAGTTATTACCCCACTCCACTAAATCATCATATTAGGAAGCATTTGATACTATTCAGTTTTTTTTTCACATTATTCTGAGTAACTTTAGACCATGCTAGCTGTGAACTATTTTTCTTTTCTAATATATTCATATAATTCTTTCTATGCATGTAACTTTACCTTTCATTATGGTCCATACATCCCTAAATCAGCTCAATCTACCCCCTTATACTAAATAGGATATTACTATCGCTCTGTCTATAAGATTCTGAAGCCATCTCACTTTTTTTTTTTGTCTGTCTTTACCATAAATTCATTGTTTTACTCTTAACATTCTTCTGCAGATTACTTGGTTAGTAATTCGTTAAATATAGTAAATTCAGTTATTATGTTTTCATAATAATTTATTGCGAGTGAAAGTTTATGTTCCCAACTCTGCTTATTAGTTTTGGACTTTAAGATGAAGAGGCAGAGTATGAAAAATATAACATATCATTGTTTTAGGATTAGATGGTGGTATTTAAAGTACTCTAACAAAAATATCTTTGAGAGTAAGATTCATGATCTTAAGATTTCCTCGGTACATGAGGAAGTTAATATTATGTGATAAATAGTAACTTGCAATATTAAAAATGTTGTAAAAGATGTGTTTGGAGTATCAAAAGAAAAAAACTTCTAATAGTATAGATAGTTGGTGTCGGAATCAAAATGTGTAAGAAAAGATAAAAAATAAGTTATATTATAAAATTTAGTTTAGATGTAAAAATTTTTAAAATTGAGAAAGATATAAAGTTGCCCATAAGGAGTCTAAGAAAGTATCTTGCGATGCAAAGATTTTAGCTTTTAATGATTTATATAATATATTAGGTACTAAAGAGGGAAAAAGATATATGTATAAGCTAGCCAAACAAAGAGATAGTAGTAAGGATTTAGTTCATGTGATGTGCATTAAGTATGAAGATCAAAAGGTACTTTTTTTAGAAGAGGATATTCAACAAAGATGGATGAGATATTTTGCTAAGCTTTTTAATGAATATTGTGAAAATACGATTGACTTTAGTGACCTTAACACTCTAAATGAAAATGGATATTTTTGTTTTTATCAGCGTATTATTAAAACTGAAATTAGAGGGACTTTAAAGAAAATGAAGTGTGGGAAAACTGTTGGCCCTAATGATATTTCAATAAAGGCGTGGAAATGCTTAGGAGATGAAGAAATTTCTTGGATTACTAAACTTTTTAATATTATTTTAAAGACTAGAAGGATGCCAGATGTGTGGAGAATGAGTGTGTTGATTTTTATCTTGAGGAGTAAAGGTGATGCACAAGATTGTACAAATTATAGAAGAATTAAGTTGATGTGTTGTACTTTAAAATTATGGGAGAGAGTTATGGAGCATATGTTATGATGTAATACTAATGTTTTTCAAAATCAATTTGGATTCATGTCGGGTATGTCTACTATCGAAGCCATACATTTATTGAGAGGTTTGATGGAGAATTATAGAGAGAAAAAGAAAGCTGTTCATATGATATTTATTGATTTAGAGAAAGCATATAATAAAGTTATAAGAGAAGTGCTATAGAGAGTTCTAAAAAGAAATGGATTAATAGTGCTTATATTCAAGTCATTAGGGATATGTATGCTGGAGTTGTTACTTGTGTTCAAACACCAGGTGGTTTGACCAAGTATTTTCCAATTTCAGTTGGATTACATCAAGGATCAGCCTTAAGCTCGTATCTTTTTGCTTTAGTCATGGATATTTTTATTAGAGATTTGCAAGAGGATGTTCTCTGGTGTATGCTTTTTTGCTGACGATATTCTTCTTGTTGGTAAGACTGAAGAAGGAGTTGAAGGTACACATGACTTATGGAGGTCATCCTTAGAGTTTAAAGGTTTTCGTTTGAATAGATCTAAAATCGAGTACATGTAGTGTAATTTTAATAGTAATAGATCTAGTGGAGGTTTTGTGACTTTGAGCGATCAAGTCATTAATAAGAGTACATGTTTTAGATATCTTGGGTCTATTGATCAGAATGATGGTGAAATAGATGGGGATATTATTAGTATAATTCAAGTTGGATGAATGAAGTGGAGGAATGCATCGGGCATGTTGTGTGATAGAAAAGTACCACCCAAACTTAAGGGAAAATTCTATAAGATGGTGGTTAGACCTGCAATGCTTTATGACGTAGATTGTTGCCATTAAAAGAGAAGCATAATATTAAGTTAAGTGTTGCAGAGATGAGGATGCTCAGGTGGATGAGTGGCTTTACACTTAGAGACAAGAGACGAAATGAGCATACACGTGAAAAGGTTGGAGTAGCTTCAGTGGCAGATAAGATTAGAGAGAGTCTCCTTAGATGGTTTGGTCACATAAAACGGCGGCCGTTCGATGACCTGGTTAGGAGAGTAGATGCATTAGATTTAACCTATGTTAAGAAAGGTAGAGGTAGACCTAAAAAGACTTGGTTAGAAAATATTATAAATGACATTTTTTTATTAGATCTAAATGAGAATTTGACTCTTAATCGGACACAATGGAGAAAAAAGATTAATGTAGTCAACCCCACGTAGTGGGATGCAGGCTTGATGTTGTTGTAGTGTGGGTCTACCTTTTTCCAAAGTCATAATTTTTTATTTTTTTCAATATTATACTCAGCACGTCATTGTCCTGATTTGCAATAATGTTAATTGTTTGTGTTTAGATGTCAGTTGCCATTTAGGACTTGCTTGACATTTTTTTAGTAGTTCAAGGGTACTTTTGGCATTTTGAATATAACTTATTATTATAAATAACTTATAGGGCCATTAATTCATATGGTTGATGATGGCTAAATAAAGTTTTATTGTGCATCACTTATAGGGACATCTAGGGAACAATTCCTGTCCCTTGTTTTTATCAAGGAGGCATTTACTCTTTCTCGCTACTTCTTGTTTATCCTTTAAGGCTTTTATTTATTGTAGTACAATTTCTACTTTTACCTCATCATCATGAATAGCTTGAGCTAAACTTATCTGCTAAATTTTGCAACATTAACCTGTATCCATGAGAACTCAGTGTGATAACAAAACCCCATTAGCTGTAACAGAGGTTACGTGCTTGTTGACCTCACTTTCATTGTGCTCGAGCTCGACCATTGCATACACACATTGATTGTCTTTGAGTTTTTTCGTTTTGATCATCTTGGTACTCACATACCTGATGATTTCAAGTTGAGCTTCCTAATTAGGAGGACTTCCTAGTCATGTACACTAGATATCGCAATGTTCGCTCGATGATGCACGTCTCTCTGTGATCGTGATTTTTGCTCGATTTTGTGCACCTTATCTTAATTGTGATCTTCGCTCGATCACGTGTCTAGTTTTAATCCCGATCTTCGGTCGATTGTGTGTCTCACCACGATCACGTGGCATGTCGCAATCATCATCTCTATTCAATCAATTTGTATGGTTTTGACCAGCTCGATTAACTTACATTCGATTCAATTTATAAAAAAAGTTTGAAAATTTTGATAAAATTAATATTAATTGAATTCATATAATGTGTAAAATTTGATTAAATCTTGCTTTTAAATTATTCATTCCTCACAAAAATATAAATCGTCCAAAGAAGTTTTTACAACTTCTCCCTACTTTAATCTGCTAATAATAATAAATTAAAAAAATAAAAACCCAAAAGCTAAAGAGGGAGGCTTTGAATTTCTCTCCCATTTTCCGCAAAAACTGTCCCATGACCTTCATGATTAAGACCTCTCACGCGACTTCCCCTCTCTGGTTGATCACCATCTTCCTCAGCTGTGCACGCCATCGCTTCTAGGCTCTATGCCACTGCAAGCCACAATCTAGTCGCCATCCATGCAACCCCCAACCTCCCTTTCCGTTGGTCCCCGTGGACCTATAGAGTGCATTGATCGACTACAATCACTTCTCTATTGTAGTGCTGCAGGTGTCTTTTGAAGCTAGCAGTACTTTTCTTGCTCAGTACTTTTCTTTTTTCATCTGTTCAATAGCCTTTTATTCAGATCTTCAGTGTAAAGCATTGATGCTGTTGTTCTTGTTGGCCGTCAAGAACTTAATATTTAGCTCTCTTTATAGTTTTCTTTTTATGCTCAGATTGCAAGGGTAGTTGAAGTTGCTCCAATTCGTGTATATGAAGTTGCTACATTTTACTCAATGTTCAACCGGACAAAGGTATAATATTTCTATTTTTGAATTGATCTTTTCTTTTGGTCAGATTTATTTTAATATGATAAAAATGACATCTAGTTAGAAATGTGAATAAATTTGCTATTCCTCATGTAATTAGACTGCTATTGACTTTTAATGCATTACAGGTTGGTAAATATCACCTGTTGGTTTGTGGCACAACACCATGCATGATACGTGGGTCACGTGATATAGAAGAGGCTTTGCTAAAACACCTTGGAGTGAAGCGTAATGGTGAGTACATAAGTTGAGAATATGTAACATCACTCTTCTACTAGCACATTTGTTTGTGGTGACATAAGGAGTTTCTTACTTGCATTTTTACAGAGGTCACTAAGGATGGTTTGTTTTCTGTTGGAGAAATGGAATGCATGGTGAGCGCCTTTGGTATTTCTAATTACTCTAGTTTCCTTCATATTACTTGAGCTGTCATATTTGCCTATTTTTCAATTTTTGTACCTATTTATTACAAATTTTGTGCAACAACACAACGAGATTTAATGTGATTGAAGGAATAATGTTCATTGTGTTTTTTATATATCATTGTTTTGTAAGAAATTTTGTCCAATCATGAATTATGCAAACCAAACTTCAAATTTTTGGCATAAACTTTTACATCGAAGATCTTGAACAAGATGTTTTTCACAAAACCTTTGGTCCAACAATAATATCTTCATTAGAGACAAATACTAGCATCATGATCTAATGATAATCATAATGGTCCAATGATAATAGCTTTTTAGAGACAAATATTGTTATTACGTACATAGTTATTTCATGTATATACATACTAGCATAAGAAAACATGATTCCTTAATGTATCAAAATTAGTATTAAAATTAGCTCAGAGAGTCTAGTACAAAAAAGTATGAACTTAAATATAATGTTAATAATAATTTTCATTAATGCCCATCGGCCCCATCCTTTTAACATGTTCATTAAATATCTTTGATTGCAACCCTTTGGTTAATGGATACCTAACCATAACATTAGTGCCAATATGTTTAAATGTTGTTGAATTTCTTCTTTTGCGGCAAAATATTTCAATTACATACGTTTAGCACCCTTTAAATTTTTTTTCGTAGAAAGATGATTGTTGTAGTATCATCACAATAAATTTTTAGCAGCTTGACAATACTGCCGACTACTCCAAATTTAGAAATAAAATTCCTTGGCCATATTTCATGAATGGTGGCCTCAAAGCATGTCACCAACTCAATTTCCACAGTTGATGCATCAATGATGGAATGCTTTGCACTCTTCTAAGAGATATCTTCTCTAGCTAAAATGAATAAATAGTCGAATGTGAATTTTGTGATATCCATGCATCCATCAAAATCTGAATTTGAATATCCTATCAAGCTTATGGTGATCATATCTTCTATAAATGAGCATGTGTTTTTTTGTTCTTTGAAAATATGATAAAATTTTCTTTGCAGCCTTCCAATAATCCTGGATTATTTTGATGTTTGCCGCAGTCTTGAAAACAAAATTAATGTTTGGTCTAGCACAAGTTTGAGCATACACTAAGCTCCCAACCATAGATGTATAACGAATTTGTTTTATTTGTTTGCATTCTAATTCATTGTTTGGGCATTATATAATGATTATTTTATCTCAACTTTGAATGGGAATAACACTTACAAAGCACTTTTCCATCTTAGATCACTTAATTTTTTTTATTAATATATGCTTTTTGAGATAACCTTAAAACTCTTTGTGATCTATCATCGAATATTTCAATTGCTATCACATAAGATGCCTCACTTAATATTTTATTTCAAAGTTCATTGACAGAAATTTATTTTTCTTTTGTGGTTAACCAAGATTATTAGTAGCAAGCAAGATATTATTAATTTACAAAATCATAAATATAAATTTTCTCCCCCTTACTTTCAAATATAATCACCGATCATCAGTACTTTTTTTAAATATAAAGGAAATGTAGTATCATTGAAAGTAATATGCCATTGTTAGGAAGTTTATTTAAGTTTGTATATTGACTTATTAAGTTTACACACCATGTGACCTTTTCGTTCAACTGAAAAGTCCAGGCTAATATATATAAACTTCTTCCTCTAAATCTCCATTTGGAAAGCAGTTTTCACGTTTATTTGATGGAATTTCAAATCATAATGATCCACCATTACTATAATAATTTTAAATGAGTCATTTTTCGAGATAGGAGAAAATATTTGTCTGTAGTTAACACCATCATTCTGAGTGAAACCTTTGACAACAAGTTTAGCCCTATATCATTTGATATTGTCATTGTGTTGCATTTGGTCTTAAAGATCAACTTATATCCAACTCTTTTTGAATCTTTAGACAATTCAACAAGATCCCTTACTTCATTGTGATGCATTAATTTCATTTCCTTTCATGGTATCTATCCACTTATTAAAACTAGCACTATTCTTGATTTATGAAAATGAAACTGGATCTTTATTAATTGCTAAGTCAATATCCGACAAATACCAAAATATGAATATCAAAAGGTCCATATATGTTAGTGTGCATAAATTTCAAAAGTTGTGTGCTGCTTATGACTACTTTCTTAATTTTATGTCTTCTATTTTTTTTCTTAATACAATCCATATAAATACCAAAATCATTTAATCCAAATAAGAAAGGTTTTTATTCGTTGTTAATCTTTATTTTCTTTCGTTGATTATATAATCTAAACATTTATGTCACAAGTAAGTTGAACTTTTTTAATTAAATTATTTTTAATTTCAACATAATGATGCAAGGTATGATGCACCGACACTTCTCCTCAAAGAGGTTTGCAGTGTCCGACACGACTCTGACATGTGTCAGGCACGCCGAAAACGTGCCCGAAAAAAAAATTAAATACAAATTGGATGCGCGTGTCCGACACTCGTGTATTAAGTATTTTATGAAAGTTTTTTAAATATAATTTCTTGTATTTAAAAATTTCATTTGTTTAAAATATAAAAATTAAAATTTTTTATTTTCTATCGACAACACTAAATGAATCGCCCTCACTCAATACCCCATTCATCGAATATTCTAATTTTTATTTCTTTTTGGCGAGTCGCAACTTTATTTTCACAATAATGTCCGATGTCATCTCAACATCGACATCCGACGTCGTTACACATCAACATGTCTAAACCATTTCAATATCAAAGTCTGACATTGTCTTGACATTGATGCTATATGCTAGCAATTTCTACACTCACAACTTAGCAACTCATCTTTGTTTTGCGTTTTCTTAACATGGACGACCAACGCCTTCTCAACATTGACGACAAATGCCTTTTTTACATCGACGCCCGATACTTACTGCATAACATCGATCCCTGACTCTCAATAACATTATCGTCTCCTCTCTCGATGTTTGATACACGGCATCAATGCCCAACTCTAGACATCTTAATATTAGTCATTTTCAGCACAAGTTCTAGTTAAATGACTTATTATTTTTAAATTATTTTTAATTTTATACTTATTCAATTTTTATATACTATTTTTAAATCATAAAAATTATAATATCATGTCCAACTTGTGCCGACCCCACGTAGAGGGACAAATGCTTGATGTTATTGTTGTTGTCCAACTTGTATCCGTGTCCTATATTTTTAATAATTGACATGTCACGTGTTCGTGTCGTATCGTATCCGTGTCGTCGTGTCCATATCTGTGCATTATAGGATGCAAGGTTCACAGACTCTTAAGAAATAATTTTCAAGTTTTAATTTGTATAAACCATCACCAAGAACACTAGAACCAATAAAATGATTATGTTTAAACAAAACTGAAACATCAATTACCAAATGTAATATAATATCTAATTGTATAAAATTGTATCCATTTCCAAACCATCACAAAGGAACCAAATTTTAAGAAACAGAAGGAGCATAAAAAAGTTTGAAAAAGATTTAAATGATGTCTAGTGTCTAAAACAAATGATATATTCTGATTGCTTCAACTAGAGTTTGACTTGGTTTCCCATGAAAGTAAATTTTTTATTTGGCTTTATGATTTGAGCCGTTAAGGAATCCTCACATTGCATTTGAAATATGCGTGGTACATTTAGAATCAAACCGTTATGTATTTGATAGACCAGTCCTTAGACTGATCCAGCTGGTCCATCATGGACTGCCCTTGGTTTACCAACCCGCCCCAATCATTGTCGCCCCCTTTGAGGCTGGTTCCAACAGCCATATTAAGGAAGAAATTAGGAGGAAAATTTCAAATTGAGGGGCTGTTTTGATATTAACTATATTTTGTATGCTTTAAATGTATTGTTTACACTAGGGTTAGGTTGGGATCTTGTGTTTTTTGAAATTTGGAGGGTGATTTGGATTTGTTTGGGCTCTAGCAGTGTCTAGAGATTTGGGAGAGCCAAATCCTCCTTTCTAATTGAGGATCTATTGTATCTTACAGTTTTCTTTCATCTATTATCAATAAAATACTTTCTCGCTAGTTTTTTCCACCAAAATTCCTCTTAATTTCTTGTTTGGAACTTGTTGAAATTCAAATTTTAGCCAAGAGAATTCATTTTCTCTTGGAGTGTTTACTATCAAATTGGTATCAGAGCATCGTTTCGTGCTACCTATGACTGGGAGAAAAGTGAAAGTATTGGTAGGAGAAATGGAATAATTTAAATCAGATTTTGTGGAGAAAATGTCTGAATTTGAAGACCAATTTTCAGCCGTCCATGAAAAGATGAATGAGAAGTTTGTTGTCGTGGAAGAAATGTTAAGGAAGCTGCATGAGGCCCAACCCAAAATGACGACATTGGAGGCAAAGGGAGCCATCAAAGTGCCAAGGAAGTGGTATAAATCCTTATTTAATAAGGAGAGGGGAAAACCAAGAGGTGGAGATTTTGGAGTGGGGGGGGGAGATGGGATGCATCTCCTAGAACCTATTTCTAGGGCGAAGATGGGTAGTAGGCATAAAAGGATGGGTGCTAATTTTGCAAAACGAGGGTTTGATTTTTAGCATAGGGGTGAGTGGAACAAAAGGAGAGGTGATTTTCAAGAAGGGTTTGGGTACAAGCACAAAAGGGAGGATTTGGACACGAGGGGAGCACCACCCCTTCGTGGAATGTGAGTTTTTGGAGGATTCAAGGGAAACAGAGGCGATTCGAGAGTGAGGAAGCTAAAGATGCCCCTTTTTGAGGGAGATGATGCACGTGGGTGGATCTACATGGTGGAGAGATGTTTCACTATCAATAGCTTGATGGATGAGGAGAGGCCGACAACAATTGGCCTATGTTTGGAAGGGAATGCCTTGACTTGGTACCAATGGAGGGACATAAGATGACCCATACAGAGTTGGAGGGAGTTCAATGATTACTTGCTGCAACGCTTTCGAACTAACAGAGGAGGGGACTTCTATGAGCAATTTTTCATCCTGACACATGATTGATCGGTGATAGAGTACTGGAAGAGGTTTGAGTACCTTGCTAGTCGATTGGACCGGCTTTCTGAGACATTGTTAGAGAGGAACTTCATGACGGGTCTCAAACCAGAGATCCGGGCAGCAATTAGAGTGATGAAGCCTCATAACTTGGGAGAGGCTATGGAGCTAGCGCAGTTAGTGGAGGACTAGAAGCATCTGGAAAGGAGGGCCAGAGGCAACTATTCAAGAGGATCGTACAGGATAACCACTACTTTCTTAACTCCTAAGTAGCCAACACCATGAATCTTTCATGAGGCCCCAAAGAAGAAGCCTATAGGAGGGCGAATTTGAGGAAATTTCAAGAAGCTCATTGAGAAGGAGCTACAGGAGAAGAGGTTGAAGGGATTATGTTTTAGTTGTGATGAGAGGTACACCATCGTGAATGAGGCAGTGGTAGATGACGAAGAAGAGATGCATCTTGACATGGCATAGGTCTCCTTAAATTCAATGGTGGTATTCACTCTGAATCACACCATGAAAGTGAATAGAGAAATAGTAATAAGGAGGTAGTGGTGCTACCCACAATTTAATCTCCAACCAGGTCGTTGACTAATTAGGGGTGAAGTTGGTAGACAGGGAGTTATGGGGTGATGATGGGCACTAGGAATGTGGAGACAGGTAGAAGAGTATGCAGAGGAGTGGTTTTGACTATACAGGGGGTCCAAGTGAGAGAGGTCTTCCTTCCCTTAAAGTTAGAAAGCACTGATGTTATCTAGGGATGAAGTGGCTACAAATCTTGGGGGATACCCAGGTGAATTGGGGAGCATTGACAATGTAGTTTGTAGTGGGGGGAGGGGGTGGGAGGCGAATGATGATTAGGGGTGATGCAAGGTTATCCAAAGCCATTGTGTCACTCAAAATCATGGTGGGGACCTTACAGGAAGTGGAAGGTGGATTTCTGGTGGAGTTGTAGAGCTTAGAGGGGGTAGATTGGAGGAAGAGGGAGACATTCCTCTTTCAATACAACTGCTTATACAATAATTTAGTGAGGTTTTTCATCCACCTCAAGGTTTGCCCCCACTGAGACAGCATAAGCATGCCATTACCTTGAGAGAGGGAGTGTCACCAATCAGTGTCAGGCCATACTGCTAACCTCAAATTAAGAATGATGAGATTGAAAAGCTGATCTGAGAGATATTAGAAGCAGAGATCGTTTAACTGAGTGTGAGTCCTTTCTCTAGTCTAGTCTTATTGGTCATGAAGAAGTACCTGAGCTGGAGATTTTGCGTAAACTATCAGGCCCTGAATAAGGAAACTGTGCCTGACAAGTTTTCCATTCTGGTGATGGATGAGCTGCTGGATGAGCTATGTGGAGTAGTAGTGATCTCAAAGATGGATTTGAAGTCGAGGTACCATTAGATCCGAATGAGAGAAGAGGATGCCCGGAAGACTGCATTTAGGACACGTGAGTGGCGCTACGAGTTCTTATATTTGCTGCAATAATTTGCATAAACACTAAACTAAGTATGTTTTATCTTTCCCAAGCATTATGTATAGATTTTTATTTGGTGCTACTAATCTATTAGGAAAATGAGTAGTGGGCTTATCACTTAGAAATGCCAAATCACGATTCAGAAAACTTACTTGGAACTAAGTTTGATCACTTTATTCAGTAAAATTAAGCCCATTGAACTTCTTAGTAGACAAAATTTGTGAATAAAGAAAGTAGATTCTACAAAATAAATGTGGAACGCTCATGTAAAAGCAAACACATAACACTAACTCAAATTAGTATTCATACAACCACTTAAATATATATTGAAGTTCTCTTTTGATTAATAGTACAATGCACAACTGTAAAGCATGATTGATACTCAATTTAAATTTCTCATAAGTAGCAATCATATATAATCCAGTTAAATATATTTGTTATCTTTAGATATACTAAACAAATTATGCTTAATATGAATATGAAATTATATAGTGGCAATGATATATATTTCAATTAGGTGAAATGCATATAAGAAAATTATTATTATTTGTTTAAAACTTTGTACAATTATAGCTCAAATTTAATTATCTTTCTCTTAATATGAATATGCACATAAATTCTCTTAAATAAATAATAAATCTTCAGTATTTAATTGTTGGCATTTCAAATATGAAGTACATCCAATCAATGTGTTTTGGATTCAAAATATTTTTCCTTAAGTAAGAATAGTAAGTTTCAAGTTCATAGCAACAATAGTTGCATGTGGCGGAAATTTCTAAAAATAAAATCCAGAGCATCTCATTTAATGAGATACTCAAATGCCATGGGACTAAATTTATTTGCAACCAAGCAGTCGCTAGAATGCTATCATTTCTTACCGAAAGAACAAACTATAATGGTTTTATACAAATATTTCAAATTTGTCGCAGTAAGAATGGTGTGAAATTAACGTAAATTAATGAATAAATTGTAAATACATTAAGAACAATAACTTATAGAGGAAGAAAAGATATCGAGCAAAATTGATAACAAAACTATAATTTTCTATTACATACTAAATTTCGAAACATAAAATAATCTTTAATAGAAGATCACAAGTTCTTAACCTGACCTTGATACCATATGTAAAATTATTTTTCCATTCGTAAATTAAAGTTATGAGCAAACTTTATTTTTCTGCATAAATTTGTTATACTGAAGGTCTTTTACTAGATTATTTTCACAAAACATTAATTGGAAGAAAACATACCTTGATTTATGGGGATATTCTTTGAAAATTTGATCAAGAATTTGAGAAACTATGTTTTCTTCCTTTCACCTGCAATTTTTCTTCTTGCTTCAGTTAGTTTCTTATGAAGAAAGCTAACACTTAATTGGTAAAAAAGAAGATCATTATTTCATAATTTAGTTGTTTCATCGAGCAGTCCATGATGAACATATTGATGAATTATCTCTCTTTTGACTAATAGGATTGTGACACTTCATTACTTATTAAATTATAATTAAATAATTAAAGTAACGTGGGCCATTTCATAAGAATTTCTTACATGTTTTCCCATGGATTTTTTACTCAATAGATTCTTTTCATATCCCCCTAGCTATGTATGGTTTGATATAATTCATTTGTAACTATATTATATATTTTGTCTCGTTGATATGACTGTTTTCAGTTCTGTGTGTAATTCTATTTGAAACAGGGTTGCTGTGTAAATGCTCCGATGATTGCTGTGGCTGATTACTCAAACGGATCTGAAGGATTCACATATAATTATTACGTTAGTTCACTCTCATCCATCTAGACTAATTGAATCATCTGTCTTTTGCTATTTTTCTATCCTAGATTTAGAAGGTATGCTCTTGTATTCAATTATTCATACAGCCATTACCATGTGTTATGTGGTATATCCACCCATGCAATAAGCTCAGAATTAAGTTTCGTGTCTCCTTATCATGATTCTCATTGGCGAGGCGGATGCATTTGGCGTTAGTAAGTTAGATTGTGAACAAAAGAGTGGAGGGACTGGCAGTTCTCATTCAGTCTGTGAAATGCATATTTGTCCTTAGCAGGTTAGGGAATGGGTTGGGCTCGTTACTGTACCTTTTAACCGGTCATTACAGGCTTTGGCTGTTGGACAAATTATTTTAAGGTGGGCAATGGCTGTTCTTTGGGCTGGAAAGACTATGGTTTGGGTTGGAAGATGGGGTTTTAGTGATTATTTCAAGAACTGTAAACTGAAATCCGAATCATGCTCATTTGAGGATGTTGCTGGTGGCAAGAGGGTTAGACAAGAATAGAGCTCTTTGCATCACTGTAACAAGCTTTTCTGAATGGCCCATTGTTATATGGAGGCAAGCTGTAGGATGTTGATGAAAGAGGGGTCTGCAATTCCTTTTTAGGTAACCTCAAATATTTTAAAATTTGATTTTCTTTCTGAAAGACTTCGTAGATTTAAAGAAGATGAATGTTATAGCTTTTGTGTAAAATTGTTACTGGCTAATGTGACGCGACCATGACCACTAATTATTTGCTAATAATCTCAAGTGAAAGCTTTGCTGTTGTTTGATGTGTCCAAGTTGTGCATATAGAGTATAGGAAACTTGCAATTGAAAACTATTAAATACTTAACACGCGGAATGTGTGATGGTAATTCGTGAGATCATTGAGACATTTGCTTCAAGTTTACGTACAACATTTTTTGTTAAATGAACATTCTTTATAGTTTAATATGAACCTAATTCATGTTCATTAAGTTTTATAAGTGGAAACATATACTGGTTAATGAGTTTTCAGTCATATTAAATGTTGTATTATTGTGTGGAAGGTTATCCTCATGGGTTCCTATTTGTACATGAGATCCACTCTTTTTACCGAGCAACTTGGCCGTTCAAACCCATTAGCTGATGAAAGACATTGCTACTTTACTCTAATTTTAGGTGATCATAATTGTTTTCTCTTTAGACAAGAAAAGCTGTGGTTGAATTTCCCGTTTTTTGGTACTAGTTTTATTGCACGTGCACAAAGTACGCGTTGCTAGTAATAAAAAAATATAATATGAGAAGATTAAATTGTTGTACAATACAAATTTAGTAAAATTTGTGCTTGTTTAATTGTTAGTGAAAACTATATAAAAGTTTTAATGTTAAATTTATCAATACAACTAATGAGATAGATTTCCCAACAAAGAATTAGAGGCTTATTAAAATTGCATTTCATGATTTTAGGATAAGGATTAATATTAATTAAAAATAAAATAAGTCAAATTTTTATAACATAAAAATTAAAAAAGTTGATTAAGTACAATTTATCAGACTTACAATTTGATCAATACTTAAGTACGAAACAACAAGTTAAATTTCTTCATTGTATGTGAAATATATATCCATCATTTCCTTTTTAAGCTAAAGAAGCATTCTTATGTCAAAATTTTGGATTGTTTAATCGCAATTCTCATATTAATTATGTGATTAAGAAAGAGATGTTGAGAGAATTAATGATTTATATTATGATTCAAGAACATTATTTTTCTCCATAAGCCCAGCCTATTTTTATGGAGTCATATCAATAATGCCTATATAAAATATGATTACAACATTTAAATTATTATATATATATAATAGTTTAATTGCGCATGCACAAAGTACACGTTAATAAAATTTTGAATATCAATAATGAAATATATGATATATAAATTTTTAACTCCATAAATATATTTGTAATGCTATGATTTTTGTATTATAATTTTGATTGTTAGGAACTTGTAATGCTATGATTTTTGTATTATAAGTTTGATTGTTAGGAACTTGTTGAACTAATTTCATTATATATCATTATTATTGCAATTCTTCTTGTTATTTTTTTTTTCTTGCTTTTATGGTTTGTCGTGTTTAAGATCCATGTTGGTGCATCACATTGAATAATTATTCTCGCATTTGTATGGTGTAATAGTTACTATGCTTAGAGTTATATCCTAATTCTTCTCCCAGCCTAAAATATATCACCACTTCAGAGAGTCTGTATGAAGTTTTTTAATTATCTATTTGTAAATATAAACAGGAAATTCATTACAAGACCCTCAAATCTTTTAATACTTGTTTAGCTACTATAAATCTTAAAATTGGAACTAAGAATGTTAGTTGTAATGATAATGTTAATACCATATAAATTATATTTCTTACTAAATTAGTTATTTGAAGATTGAGCGTTATGGTTGCAAGTCTGATAATTGACAATCTATCTATGCAAATTATATTATATACAATGAGAAGTAGAATTTTCATAGCTTTCTTTTTCTTTTTTCTCAAAAACTTATATAATATATCAAAGAAAAATATGAATAAATTTCTTTTTTGGAAACAATTATATTTAATTTAATATAATTGTAAATTGATAGCTAAAATGAAGAAGTTGAATTTTATAATTTATAACCAAACAATTAGTAGAGATATTAAAGTTCAAAACAATTATTATTAATAGATACTCATTAAATTTATAATGAAGGTATTCAGCTATACAATTAATAAATTAATTATTGCATTATAAGAATTATATATATATATATACTACTATTATAAAAGGGGCTTGAGTTTCCACCCAAATAAAATCTTAGCCTTTCATTTTAATTACTCAAATAAAATCCTAGCCTTCCATTTCAATTATTATTATTTATTAATAATTATAATTATATTAATTATTTTATTAATATCAAATACTCCATATTTATTATCATAAAGCTGTATTAATTAATTGTAACCATTGTGATCTTTTATACTGCATACGTTGGTATCAAATTCAAATTATTTTGATTCAGCTTCTACCTATCAAATAAAATTTCATTTCTCTTAATTACAACAAATGAATGCAGAGAAATTCCTCTTCATTTCTTTTCATAATTATAAAATTAGTTTAATTACAACCAATGGATGTAGCGTCTTTTCGTTTCTCTTAATAATTATAAATTGTTTTATTACAACTAATGAATGCAGAGAAACGCCTCTTCATTTCTCTTAATATTTATAACGTCTCTTCGTTTCTCTTAATATATATATATCTATACTACATAATATCTAACCAATGAATGCAGAGAAACTATATATATATATATATATCTTATACTTCTGCTCACGCCTCTTCATCAATTTGAGAATCCTCAATCGGATCCAAGATATGCATTCACACTGTGTCAGTTTACGCGTCTGGTATCTACTGCTCATTGGAATCGCAATCGAGATACATTCTTCTGCTCATTACAATCACAGTCAATAAGCATTCCGAATATGGAGAAACATATGGGGAGATCATTTGTGATGACAGAGAAGCATGTGCAGATAATTCGTCTAACTGTATTTCATAAAATTAATACAATATAAGAGAATGAAAGATTTGAAGTATTTTATTCCAGATATCTCAAGAAATTACTTCAAAGGTCATATTGACGAGCTTTTTATGTTGGCATATCACTATAAGGTGGATTTCTATAATAAATCTTTTTGAGTTCACGAACTTAATAATATCATGGTTGCAGATTTTATTCTTTTAATTGAATATTTGATTATGTTGTATCATAGTTCGTTTTAAAATTTTTGAATTATATTTTTCATCTTAAATCTATTGTAAAAATTTTTAAATTCTTAAAACCATACAAAGTCGACAATGATAATTTTTTTATAATATTATTGTGCTTGACAAATTTGCTCTTATAATATTCAATATCTTTTCTTGTGTTCATATGAAATATTTTCTTTTATGATATTTGTAGATTAATTGACTATATTACCCTTTTCATTATTATTATTATTATTACACGTAAATTTTTTGCCTTGTAAATTTGAACATGTTGCTCTTTAAGTTTTCTTTTTGTTTGTTTGTCTTTTTTAAATTTAGTTAGTTAGACTTATATTAATAAAAGTAGATTATGTTATCCAGGTTGGTGATAATTATTGTGTTTAATTTAGGTGGGTTTGGATAAGCTTTTGTATAGTTGTTAATCTAGCATTGGTGGTGGTTTGTTATTGATCTTTAAAGATTAATTTATTAGTTATTTAATTATATATCCTCGATGGAGGATTCATTAATTTTACATTGGAGGCTCAACAAGAAAGATGCTATATGTATTTTATTATTATTTTAATTCTTTTGGCCTTAGTGGCAGTTTGTTAAAATTTATTTATTTTTTTTTAATTTTTTTTAGTGGCACTTTCTTAAAATTGATAACATCTCTCAATAATTTTAGGTAAGTTCATTCATTTCTACTTAATATTGCTTGAGGCGTTAGAATTGGCAATTAGTTGCTCTATGTATTTTAATTTAATTGACAATTAGTTGCATTTAGAAGGATCAAAAGATAAAAATAATTATCATACAAGTAATTGAATATCTCATTAGGATATGAAATTATGATGATGAAGGCTTATGGAACTAATAAGAAAGAATGAATTAATATTGCTATGGAATAATTTGAATGACATACATTTTTTCATACCAATTTGACTTAAAACATTGAATGAACTTATTTTTTTGGATTTACAAGAAGAATACATCAGTTGGAAACAACAATCTAATAATTGGATAGGAATGTTAGTGGTTTGAAAAAATTATTGAATGACATGTGATTGTAAGGAAAAAAATTTTGCTAATGAAAGAGAAATTTGGTGGCGTAGAAGGGAGAACTAACTATTGAAAATGTTAGATTTGTTGAAAGAAGGATGTGAGAGAGAGAGAGAGAGAGAGAGAGAGAGAGAGAGAGAGAGAGAGAATCTCGAAATTAGTTAGGTCTCTCAATAATAGTTTTAGTTTTTAGTTTCTTTGAATTTGAATGGAATTCTATATGTTTTTGGAAATTATAAACAAGATTGAGTTTGTAACCTAAAATCAAGTTTTGATTAAATGTAATTTGATTTCTATTGTTCTCTCTCTCTCTCACATCCTTCTTTCAACAAATCCAACATTTTCAATAGTTGGTTCTCCCTTCTACGCCACCAAATTCCCTCTTTCAACAACCAAATTTTTTCCTTACAATCACATGTCATTCAATAATTTTTTTAAACCACCAACCTTCCTATTCAATTATTAGATTGTTGTTCCCAACTGATGTATTCTTCTTGTAAATCCAAAAAAGTAAGTTCATTCAATGTTTTAAGGCAAATTGGTATGAAAAAGTTTGTCCTTCAAATTATTCCATAGTAATATTAATCCCTTCTTTCTTATTAGTTCCATAAGCCTTCATCATCATAATTTCATATCCTAATGAGATATTCAATTACTTGTGTGATAACTATTTTCATCTTTTGGCCATTCTAAGTGCAACTAATTGCCAATTAAATTAAAATACATAGAGCAACTAATTGCCAATTCTAACGCCTCAAGCAATATTAAGTAGAAATGAATGAACTTACTTTAAATTGTTGGGAGATGTTATCAATTTTAAGAAACTGCCACAAAAAAAAATTTAACAAACTACCACTAAGGCCAAAAGAATTAAAATAATAATAAAATATATATAGCATCTTTCTTGTTGAGCCTCCAATGTAAAATTAATGAATCATCCATAGAAGATATATAATTAAATAACTAATGAATTAATCTTTAAAGATCAATAACAAACCACCACCAAGGCTAGATTAACAAATATACAAAAGCTTATCCAAACCCACCTAAATTAAACACAATTATTATCTCCAACCTGGATAAAATAATAATAATAATAATAATGAAAAGGATAATATTGTCAATTAATCTACAAATATCATAAAAGAAAATGTTTCATATGAACACAAGAAAAAATATTGAATATTATAAGAGCAAATTTGTCAAGCGTAATAATATTATAACAAAATTATCATTGTCGGCTTTGTATGATTTTAAGAATTTAAAAGTTTTCACAATAAATTTAAGATGAAAAATATAATTCAAAAATTTTAAAACGAACTGTGATACAACATAATCAAATATTCAATTAAAAGAATAAAATCTGCAGCTATGATATCATTAAGTTCGTGAACTCAAAAAGATTTATTATAGAAATTCACCTTATAGTGATATGCCAGCATAAAAAGCTCGTCAATATGGCCTTTGAAGTAATTTCTTCAGATATCTAAGATAAAATACTTCAAACCTTTCATTCTCTTATATTGTATTAATTTTATGAAACACAGTTAGACGAATTATCTGCACATGCTTCTCTGTCATCACTAATGATATTCCCATATGTTTCTCCATATTTGGAATGCTTATTGACTGCGATTATAGTGAGCAGAAGAATGCATCTCGATTGCGATTCCAACAGTAGATACCAGATGCATAAACTGACACAGTGTGAATGCATATCTTGGGACCGATTGAGGATTCTCAAATTGATGAAGAGGCGTGAGCAGAAGTAGAAGAGATTGATATATATATATATATAGTATTTGATATTAATAAAATAATTAATATAATTATAATTATTAATAAATAATAATAATTGAAATGAAATGTTAGGATTTTATTTGAGTAATTAAAATGAAAGGCTGAGATTTTATTTGGGTGGAAACTCAAGTCCCTTTTATAATAGTAGTATAGATTTACTAACCATCCTCTCACTTTATAGATCAAGGGTTCAAGTCTTCAAGATGCACACTATAAATCATTAACATAAAAGACTTAGGCTTCATTTGGGATGATTTTTTTATTGCTTCTTAAAGGAGCTTTTGAGTACAAAAATTTTAACTTTTGTACTAGAATAAGAAAGCGGTTCCAAGTGAAGCCTTAGGCTTCGTTCAGACGGCTTTCTTCCTACTTCTTAAAACAGTTTTTTAGTACAAAAATTGAAATTTTAGTGTTAGAAAGCTGCTTTAAGAAGCAATAAAAAAGCTGTCCCAAATGAAGCTTTAGTCTGGCAGAAAAGTGACATATGTGCTTGTTTCTGTATTGATTGATGGCTATTTCCTTTCTATATTCACTGGCAACGTTTATTGTTGTTTTAATTATCTGTATGATTTGTTTCCTCAGGAAGACCTTACTCCCAAACGAGTTGTTGAGATTGTTGAGATGCTAAGGAGAGGAGAAGCTCCTCCAGTAAGTCGTCCAATTTTCTTTTTTTAGTCTTTTTAATTCTGATTTATGGTTCTTCGGAGGGAAGGCCTAAAACAATGATTAAGGCTTAGTTTGGGACGGCTTTTTTTTTTTTGCTTCTTCAAACAGCTTTTTAGTATTAAAATTTTTTTACTAGAAAGGTACTTTATGAAGCAGTAAAAAATCGGTCCCAAACGAAGTCTATGTTGGCTCGAGATCATAATTTGAATCACAATGATAGATTGAAAGCCTCATACCCCTTCACTCTTATCATGGTCCTACTGTCTTCTATTCTCTGGCAGGTTGGGACACAAAACCCAAATCGAATTAGAGGTGGACCTGAAGGTGGCAATACCACATTGCTTGGTGAGCCAAAACCTCCACCATGTAGAGACCTGGATGCCTGCTGAATGCTCTTCCCATTTATTAAGTTAACAAATTATAAGAGAGGGATAGAGAAAGAGAGAGCTTCCTGTTTAACCACTTTCTATTGGTTTACAAGGTACTTGACAATTAACCTGCTCTCTTTTCTGTACCCTGTTGAATTTGATAGTCGCATGCAGTATTGCATTTGCTATTCAAATCTACTGTGCTTCTTGATGCATGTGTATGTAATAAAAGAAAACAAATTGGATAAGACTGCCCTGATACATACAAGGCATTTGTTCAACATAAGAAACATTTAGCACATAAAATTCGCATTCGAAGCACAAGTCAGGTCTCTTGTCGTGATAAAGCATTGTAGTAATGATCATGTAATGATTAAATGCATGTGGACAGAGATTTGTCTTACACTTCAAATACATTTGTGTGTAGCAGATATGGAAATCTCTATCACCGGAAAAATTGTTCTGTGGGGACACCGGGTGCCGTTTGGAGACGAATCAGGATGTGTTACATATCTTTTTTTGTTGTGTTCCGTTGTATACCGGATGATGTGATATATTTTGATTTGTCTCCGAAGATATGAAAATCTCTATCACTGGAAAAATTGTTGTGGTGACACCGGGTGCCGTTTGGAGACGAATCAGGATGTGTTATGTATCTTTTTTGTTGTGTACCGTTGTATACCGGATGATGTGACACATTCTGATTTGTCTGCAAACGGTCATGTACCCGCACAAAATAATTTCTCCTATCACTGGCGTGGTGTCTTATAGTCCGAGATAACGAGTTTTATCCCTTGTTGATTTAGCTATTTAAGCTCTTTAAAGAACTATTGTGATTAAATTATGCTATTTTTTTTATAAGAACATAGTCACATAAAAAAGAGAGAAAAACATAATAATTTTTATGTAAAAATTTGGCTATGGTGTACACAAGGTTGCATTGTTTAGGGTTTAGATTTCTCCTATTGCATTTAAAGAATTGAATATGGGGTTCTTTATTGACTTAAAGAAGATTATTCAATTCATTAACATTGAAATAATCTTCATAGTTATTAACAAAGAATAGTGCAAATTATATCCTCTAATAATCAAAATGTAGTAGGAGGAAATTATCCCAAGTTTTATCCATTTGATCCCGTGAGAATGGGACTGGAGAGATTATTAGGTGCGGAGTGTGGATGGGGAGAATCGTCCGCACAAGCACTATACCCAACTAGGTACCGACATTCGGTACCGTTGTGTACCGCTAGGTTTTCAGTACTTGTGCGGACGGTACACACTCCGCACCTAATAATTTTTCATTGGGGATTGACCCAAATGGCCACTAGTAATCCATTACTTGTTGCTCCATTATTAACCCCATTGGAGCAAATAAATCAATTAATAAGAGTCTAACACCATGAGTCTATCAAAGAAGTACTATAAGTGTTAATTAGTTGCATTAATTTTTTGAAATATATAATAATTATTGATGCCTTTAATTTATTGTATTATCGAATTCAAATAACATAATGTTTTAGCTTTTTTTTTTAATTTATATATATATCATAAAATTCTTATGTGATTATATATCTAATATATAAATTTTTATGTTTATTTATATATTATTTTAATATATAAATAACATTTTGCATGCAAATATGTGTTTTACATTAAACAAGTTAATATAAAAAATAATAATAATATAGCATAATAGTTAAAACACTAAGATAAATATAAATTTTAACTAAAATTTAAAAAATAAGTTTTATTTTAAATTAAAATAGTTATAATATTTTACAGCAATATATTAAGCAGATCACAATGACTATGAAACTATAAAATATGATATTATATAAATTTGAGGGTCTATTTGAATTTAAGGGATATTTTAGTTAGTATAATTTTTTTTTGGACATATTTATTTAAGATACATATAAAGCCCATTTTTTAAATTTATTCTTATATATTAAAAATGAGAATAAAATATATATTTTAAAAATTATCTAATTTTCATATATTAAAAATAACAAACTACACTTCCACAGTAGTTCCACGAGTAAAAAACGGATCTCCTTCCGCCCATAAACTCTCCGCAGAGCTTGAGATTGGACGCCTTCGTCTCCATAATCGCGGCCCGGATGGCCCTCTCATCAAATTTCGCCGCCTCCCTCATCCCTTCTCGAAACCCTATTAGTCTTTCCCTCGTTTACCTCGCTACCCCATTCTCTTATAAACCCATCTCCCGATACAGTTCTCTCCGGACCATGGCATCTCTTAGAATCTCCCCGTCGCTTGGTATCTCAGAGACCTTTGCTCGTCTGAAGGAGCAGGGAAAAGTATGCACTAACATTCCTTCTTCGGTTCTTAGACTCCACCCTTATATTTGTTATGTATTTGGTTGATGATTACTTGGTTTGTTGTGCTTGCAGCTGCATTATATCCTTTCGTGTTCTAAATTTCATTGTGTTTTTATTTAGTGTTACTTCTTATTAGTTTTATGAATCTGTCCTTGTCAATCAAGGCGTTGGTAACTATTTAGTTAATGTAGTTTAAATGCTACGTAATTATTTCTGAAAAAAAAAATGTGATCGGTGGAGACAATGGGAATTCTATGCTGATTAATCATCTATATCTATAGTTTGTTCTGCTAATATTTTGATTTGGATGTATTTGATTTTTTCATTTGTTATTTAAAAAGGACTTGAAGGATCTTTTAATCAATGTTAAGGGTTGTTTGGTTCAGTATTATCTAAATAGCAATGTTTTCTTATAACCCTAATTGACAAATCAGATATAGCTAAGTTAGTAGAGCATTGGGCTGTTTACCTAATGAATGCAGGTTCAACTACTGCTATGCCCAAAAGATTACCCTTATTTTTATAAGGATTCATAGTAGCTTTTATAGATCAGTCTTTAACACTTATAATATTTTCTAAAATGGAAGCAATTTCAAGAATAATCTTCAATTCATCTGCAGAACTACTAAAATAATTTAATATTCTATGTATATTGTAAAACTTCATAAAAATCTTACCAAATATAATTGTTGAATTTCTATATTACAACAAACTGCACCAAAAAAAAAACTGCACATCCAAAATATCAAAATCCAACACTTATTCGGTGTACCTTGTCCTTTCCCTTACTTGAAATAAAACAATATTGATGATGCTAAACCGTAACCAATCACTTAGATTAATTTTCTTGGAAATGTTTTAGGCTTTTTGGTGATGGGCATTAATATTTTATGTATAAATAAAATAGGAATATGCCTGCAGATTGCATAATGCATGTAAAATAGATTTTTTATTGTCAATTTAATCAAAAGAGTTAAAAAAAATTTTGTGAAATATTACACCAATATAGATACGAAGTAGTCTCATTCTATTTTAAAATCTTATAAAGATAATCAAAATATAGTATCATTCATGTCATTATGCAAACAAGAAACGCTCACCTTGAGAACAGAAAATTTGCTTCTAATGTAATCTAAAAATGCTATTTTACCAAAATAATTATTTTTTACTCTTGTAATTCAAATTTCATAAGAATGAATTCCTATGAATTAAATCTACCGGAACTATATCACATGCGATACTCAAAAGGAGTGCGGATTTCCAATTTAGGTATTACAACAACAACAACAGAAAATTCTATAGGATGGTGATGAGACTTACAATACTTTCTGGTGCAAAATGTTGGCCAGCAAAGGAATTGTGTTCTGAATTATTGACTTCCCTTTGTTTTTTGGTGGAAGATATTAAGAATATTTTACCTTGAATTTAGATTGAGACTTGTGTATTTTAGATTTTTTTGTATAAACCTTCCGTTCAGTTCTCACTCATAACTTTTCAAATTCATGTAAGACTTGGTTTCGTATACTTAAAAATAGTTTTTTTTTTCACTTACATTCAAAAAATCATGCTCAAGTCCGAAAGTAAACAAATGAGATATTAAAAAAAAAAGAAGGGTAAAGAGTTGATACACATTATAATGAAGAGTTATGACTAAATATGCTTGTCAATAAAAAAAGTTGTTCTCTTCAAAAAGATTGTTTTCGTTTTTTTTTTCCGGGTAAGGAAATCAATTCTGAGCGACATTGCTGAGCGAGATGTAATTTGGAGACATTTGCATGCAGTGGGGCTAATTTTTGCGATGGACTTGTACAATCTTGATTTCTTCTTTGTGGGACCGAACTATTAAAAAAACTTGCATCCAGAAAGAGAAAAAAAAAAAAACATAAATGAAATAGATAAGCAATGAAATCTAAAAATCTAAAGAAAATAGAGAATTCGTTAACGAAAACAGAAAAAAATTTATGATGGGAAAGATTACGTCATATGGAGGAAATTGAATGACAGTTACCTATCAATTGAATTTGAAAAAGAACAGAATTCCACTAAATTTTCTTTTTTTTTCCCTGTAAAGTTTCCATTATTCTCAAAGAATCCAACTCAACCGCAAAGGCCCATTTGGTTTTTGCATGTTTTTAAATTTAAAATTTTAAAATTTTGAGAATATTCAACTTTTAATAAGATTTCGCATAGCCCAATTATACTAACCATGTTTCTTTCCCATCTTTTTTTTTCACAGTAATACAGATAGATGAGGAAATTTGGACCTTTTTATCTTGATTACTATATTGGATGAATTATCTTTTCTAGTTGATCTTGCATCAAGAAACTGGATAAATAGCCCTAGCAAGGCGCTGCCAAAAGAGAAAGGGACACACTGGACATTGGACAACCTTTTGCAATACCCTTAGGAGAAGTGAAAGCGAGGTGTTGGTTTAGGCTCTATTTTCCATAAGCACGATTTTATGTGATTTTTATGCTCTATTTCGTATAAACAATTTAATTTTATTTTTTGTATAATTTATTTTGTCCATCTGAATCATCTGATAACCTAACATTTTGAGGTCAATTGATTTGATTGACATCTAAATGTTGACATCTAAATATCAACAAATTTGGACTTATGGTATTTATGAAATGGTTATTCAAAGATGTCGCAGAACCAAATGAATGACATTTGCTAATAACTTTATCGAAGCAAATATCCCAATATTTTAAAAGCATAGAGCTCTGTTTGCTTTAGTACTTCACCCTTAACAGCATACAGAGTCTTTTATCTTACAATGAAGGTTCATTGATGATTAGTTCCTTAATATTTTCTTAAAGATTGGTTTTGTTGTGAAGAGTTTGGTAATAAACCATATGATTTTCAGAGTGCTGTGACAATTGAAGATACATGAATTGGATGCTGGAAATAATATTTTTATTGATTGAATTTGTTTAGGAACCAGACTTCCGAAATATTATTGCAACTTCATTTATAATTTTGCTTACTGCTTCTCAAAAACCATATCTGACATGCTTATTGCGGATAGGGTGGGTTGGCTAGGAATTCAGATGCGATTTTTTTTAAGAATATCATCGAACTATAAAGAATTATTGTGTGATATTTTTTGTATGATGGTTAGGCTAATGGTGATAAGATTGATTTTTTTTGGATGATTTATCATTTTTTCATGAATTGGTAGCGTGTGTTATTTTACATCTCCATGTTTTATTGAATATTCTTTAGCTGCTAAAGGCTGAATGGAAGACAGCAATTGCATATTGGTTGTTATCATCAAAAAAATTGGTGAGAAGTGTCACGCATTGACTTTAAGCTAGTCATAAGAATTATTCAGCGCAACTACTGAAGGTGGGTTTCCATGAAAAACTTTTGTGCTATGCCCATAACCCAGTCCTGCAAGTTTGAATAGATGAAACATAGGAATAAAAAATTGAGCTAGGGTATGGATAATGATGGCGTTGATGATGGTTGCTGGATGAAGTATGCAAAATAGATACTAATAGGGCTTCATTCCAAATAGCAAAGAAACGGGTAAATTTGCCGATGTTGCTTGTTTGTTTCACGTAACTATTTAAAGGCATGCTTCTATCTACTCATATTCATTCATTACAGATGCTTGCATCCTCATTGAAGTGCATGCAGTGTTTCGGTGCCTTATGTTATCAGTTAATACTCATTAACTACCCTTCTGTGCCATGTTTGGTGCAGTGATATAAATTCCCTTTTTCTTTCTTAAAATGGATGCTTTATTGTTTTTTATTTTTTGTTTCTGGAATGAGCCTTTGAGTTGATTTGAAAACTTCTTTTGCTTATTAGTATGGGCATCTAATATTTTCGTTTTGATGATGTAGGTTGCATTCATACCCTACATTACTGCTGGTGATCCAGACTTGTCTACCACATCAAAAGCATTACAAATTCTTGATTCTTGTGGCTCAGACATTATAGAGTTGGGCATGCCCTACTCTGATCCGTTGGCAGATGGGCCAGTTATTCAGGTTTGGTTGTCTATATATCCTTCAAGCATAATAGGCAAGCTAGACCGAATTACATTGCTTGTGCTCTGAATCCAGGCTGCGGCCACACGAGCTTTGGCCAAAGGAACTAATTTCAATGCAATAATTTCTATGTTACACGAGGTATTTATTTTCCAACCTCCACTGCATTGCTATCCCATCAAGCTGCTTTTCATTTGGAAAATACTAAACCATTTGACAAAATTGTATTAAAATTTCAAACTTCCTCACAATTTTATGTGTTGTAAACCATCCATCTATGCATTTGGTAAATGCCGTCAAAGAGCTGGAAAGGTTTTGAACTATCGTACAATATGACCATCTTATTTTCTTCTCTCAAAATTTTCTCGTTCTCCATCAAATATGCGTGTGCTTTTGCTTAAATTCCCTACTGAGAACTGCCCGTAAACTCTGTATCATCATAAATATCCTTCCAAATCAATGCAAGTGACTTCATTCAGTTAAGTAATTTCTTCTTATTCTGATATTTAAATATTGGCAGGATTAACTTTGTTAGCAGTTATGATAATTTTTTTATTGTGTGATTTATATAGCGTCAGCATACTTTTTTTTTTTCCTTTGCTTATTATCATGATGGCTTCAAGAACTCATTATTTTCTATTAATAATATGTTTGATTCTGAGTCTCTCTCCAACTCCTCTCAAGCTCTCACAAGAACTCACAATGCAGGATTTTTTTTTTAATCATTCATTCATTAACCTTCAAAAGAGAACATAAGGGTTATATATAGTCTCATACTATGGACGAAAAATAAAAGACGACCTCGCCCTTTGGGCTTACACATGACCACCCTTAAATAAGGGGTAAGCTGTAGAAAGGGAGAAACAACTAAAACAAATAGTAAAACAAATAAATAAAAACAAGTACATATGAGGACTCAAAAATATATCGGCACGATCGTGGCCGTAGAGCGGTGACCACGCATCCGATAAACTTTCCAAGCTCTGATGTCCCCATCATCAAGTCTGTACGATCCTCTTGAATAACATAACCCATGATTGCTGACAATGATCTTTTGATTAGGTTTGGTTGACTTCCTTCATTGATTAAGTAGTCCATAGTCCATTATAACTCGATACAATGGAACTATTGGAACTTGATCGGATTTGTCATCATTCGCTCTATGTTCCGTCCTTTAAGTAGAAGTCAATAAATTCTCAATCCTAGACCAAGTCGCCACTATTATAGCTTAGCATTTAGCTTCTATCGAATAGCCTTAATCAAAAGTTTTCCCTTGTTATTTGGAGGGGGTAATTAATTATAATGGTTTATGCACATGCGAAACTTGAAAATAAATAATAAAATAAGGGAAAAATTTTTGTATGGTGTCTTATCAAGAAGCCAATATGCCTTTTAAAAATTTGACCCATAAATTTTAAACTTTCTTACCCGATCCCTAGGTGAATTTTTGGAGTCTACAACTTCATGAAAGTATTCACATGGAATTGAAGCTTTTTCTAGTTGTTGATGTTCTTGAAGCCAGTATGAAAGTTATTGTACTTAAGGAAAGAAACAAATCTCACCCCATTGGATAGAAACCCTTATTTACAAATGTATGAAGGCTAAGATACAAATGAGTAAGATATTAGACAACCCTGTTTCTACTATAAAAATTTGGGTATAAGCTAAAGGATTGTTGGAATTTATATTAAGAAAAGTGCCTGAAATGGGATAAGCAAAAAGATCCTCATAACTACTTCAAAAGAAGTAATTGAAGAAGTAATGGCAATGGTAGGTCCGACATTTACATTCACATGCCAATGAGAAGTTAGGGAGGAATTTTTCCATCTCAAGCTTTAGGTGAATCTATTCTCATTGATGTTATTTTAGACATAGGCAGTGAAAAGAATCTTATCTCTGAAGTTTTCTTTGAGAAATTGGGGTATTCACTACCAACTATCTGAAGTATATTCTTTGAGTTGGTTTTAAAAGAATGATGTGTCAGATCATTTGACAATGCAATCTTAGGAGTACTTCTCTGTAGAATTTATTAATGAGGTAGCCTATGAAGTTTTATCTCTAGATATATATTATGTAATATCGAGAGTAGTTCATAGATATGGGATTGGGATATTATTCTTTAGAAGGCAACCAATTTATGATTACAAAAGGAAGGAAAAGGCATATTGTAAGTCAATTTGTTACACCTTCAAAGGAGATGAAAAGGACCGTCATACTAATAAATTCATATAAGGAGTCAAAAAACATTTTACTTAATAATAGAAATACTAATACTATGCCAATTTTTTTATTTTTACCAAATGAAGGAGAATGAACCATCCTCTTTTACTTAGAAGCCAATGGTGGCAAGGACGAAGAAAAGAAAGAATTGGTCCAGGAGATAAAAGAACAACTTTAATTTGTAGGAGAAAGTGAAATGTAGAATCATGATCGGAAAGTTTCAAGAATATTTGCCTAATATTTTCAATTGCTGATTTACGTTGTTTATTGTTTTCTTTGTTGGAGATATGATGTTTCGCTTACTTTTTTTTTTGGTTGAATTTCTTTCCAGTTTCCTCCTATGCACTTGATTGTGGAATGCATCTAGGGTTTTAAAGTTTACATCTTGTCATGCAATTTTTATTTGTGATTGCATTTGTACTGCTAATTTCCAAAAAAACACTCTTCATTCAGCTCATTGGGGATAATAATTCAAATGACTCCACATGAATGCCTAAGCTGGCATATTATATGTACATTTATTTCTAATTGGGTCAATTGGGCTCCATCTAACCTGAGTTAGACTCTTCTCCCACCTTTGTTAGGCTTTCCTTCCATAATTGCATTGCCTCTAATGTTAAGGTGCTTGCCTAGTGGCAACATCCCCTTTCTAGGCTGAGATGACATCCTTATGATTTTCATCACTTCGTCTCATCAATGATGGTCATATCACCACCTTTTTATCTGAAATGTTGTTGTACGCAAATGGGTATTTGTTATTTTGTGCTGAGCTTATAAAGTATCTTTCTTTCAAGGTTAGATGGCAGATGCTACTAAGTTAGAGTGTCATAAATTTTATTTTAGACCTTTATTTTAATAAATGTACACGTTGCTTCTTGCTGAGATGAATTCTCTATTATAAATCACAAAATATTTTAATTATGTCATGCAGGTAGTGCCACAATTGTCTTGTCCCATTGCTCTGTTTACATATTATAACCCGATTCTGAAGCGAGGGATTGAAAACTTTATCTCTACCATTAAGAATGTTGGTGTACATGGTATATTTTCATAACTTTCTTTTATGATTGATCTTGATGTGTTAGCCACTTTGTCTTGCACTTATATCCATTCTACTTGAATGATGCTTCTTTGTTGAACTTAAAATACTTCATTCTAGATCACTTAGCTGCATTGCTTTCAGGAATGCTAAAACAGTAAAGTGAATCTTTCAGCCAGGGAGAAAACTGGTTTTGATGATGAGGCAGTCTTTCAGAGAACGTGAAAAAATATTATTATATTGGTACTGCGTGCATGTGAAATGATAATTTCTTGAATTTTTTTTTTGCATGATTAAGATTCTCTCCTTTTTGCAAAGGGGATGCCTACATAGAGAGCATAGTAATTAAGAGCATATGATTTTTATAAGTTTACAATTAATAGTATATCACCAGTGCATTGGAAAAATTGAGATCCTCACAACTCTCTGTTGACCTATGTACATATGTTATAATCAACACAAGCAAGTACAATGAAAAGGGCGACCGATCAACACGCTGTCATATGTAGTAGCTTCTAAATGTCTCAGCCTCACCCGAAACAACTTAAACATCATCTGTTCGCAAATCAGATCGCGTTAATATGCTCAGAACTTTCACTTTTCTCATCCAAGGCTTGAGACCTAGCAACAGTAGTGTTCCATGAGAAAAGGATCAAGCTGTTATTTTAGCTATAAGACTTGTGAAACGGAGCTTCCCTTGATAGTTTTTTTTTTAATTGCTCTTCATTCGTGATTCAATAGGAACGTAGAACTACTTAATTATTAATTTCTTGTGAGAATTGTTTGACAAATTATTCTTCACAGAAGTGTTGCTTTTTTCAAAGAAATATCTATATATTTTCTTAGATTACTCTTGCTAGAAGAGCACATTTCAAAAAGATCATGCTGTTAATTTTTAGTTCCTATTTCAGATGAAACCATTTTTTTCAAACGAATAGATGTTTGTCTAAGTTCATTACTTATAGTTACTAAAATATCCTCAATCAAGTATTGATCAGCTTAACTATGAATATCTTTCAGCATCCCAATAGGATTCTCATTCCTTTTTATATTGACGGCATGTTAATCACCGTCAATGTTAATATTTGAGGTTCCTAGATTTCTACGAGCCTTAAGAAATGGAAATTCAACAGGCATTGAGTGTTGAAAAACTAAAGAAAATGAGTTTGTTGGTGACTTCTCTTAAGTTTTCCGACTTTCAATATTTGTTAAATTATCACTTCTTAAGGCTCATACAAATTTGGGAATCTCAAATATTAGCATTGATAGTGATTAGCATAGCGTCACTGTAATTTGGAATGAAAATCTCATTGGTATGTTGAAAGATGTTCATAGTTGAGCTGATCAATAATTGATTGAGAATATTTTGTAATTGTAAATAATGATGTTGGACAAGCTTCTATTATTTTGGAAAAAATAATTTTATTTAAAGCGTGAGCTTAAAAATAAGTAGTCTGATCGTTTTGAAATGTGCTCTTCCGCTAGGAGTAGTGTGAGCGAAAATACGTATATTTTTTTGGAAAAAAGCAGCACTTCTTTGGAGAAATTTTTTTTGATAATTCTTACATGGAATTAATAAATTAAGCAGTTCTTTGTTTCTGTTGAGTCATGAATGAAGCACAATTTAAATGAACAACTGTGGAAGGAAGCTCCATTTCGTAAGTCTTATAGCTTAAAATAATAGCTTGATCCTTTTCTTCATGATGTTATTTTCACTTTCCAATTTATTCCTTGTTGTGGGAACTCAAAGCTAATATAATGATGAAGCATAGTGATATTTATCTTGCTTATGTTCTTACATGACTTTTTAATGCTTAATTTATGATAAATATTTTTTCAGGGCTAGTTGTGCCTGATGTTCCTTTAGAGGAGACTGAAATTTTGAGGAATGAAGCTTCTAAACATCACATCGAGCTAGTAGGTCCTTTTATTGCCTAAAATCTTTTTAATATTGACTTGCACTTATTTTCTTGCTAGTATTTGAATTTTTTTTTTAGTTTGTCAAGCATCTTAAGATCTGTCTGAAGAAAATGTTACATTTTTTTTTCTATTTGGCAGTCCAATATTATTTATGTGGTCATAGCCAATAGAAATTACGTCCTTTTAATGAGTTCATAGCCACTAGAAGGGTTTAGGGTTTAGAGGAGACTGAAATTTGAGGAATGAAGCTATGGACATAATATGGAGTTAGTATGCCCTTTATCACCTGATGATCTTTAATATTGTTTGCAGTTATTTCATTGCTATATTATATATATTATTATTAGTTATATATATCATTTAGCAGTCCAAATATTTTATGTTGTCATACGCCATCAAAGGGTTTGGATTTAGACAATGACTGGGATTTTGAGGAATGAAAGCTGCTGAAACAAATTATGGAGTATTGTGTCCTTTTAAATCAAGCCTCATCTTTTCCTGATATTGACTTTGCAATTTTTTTTATTGTTTGGTTCGATTTTTTTTCTATTATGAAATTATTTTTTTAATTCTAACAATTTGCTGTCCAAACATGATCAAGAATTATATCTAAAGAAAACCTTGTATTTTTTTTATTCTGTTTAGGCAGTACCCAAATATGTGTTTATGGTGTGTCGTAGCCATTAAGAAATTAACTTTTATATATAAGCAAGACCTTCTATATATGAGAAAGATGGACATAATGTGCAAGTAATATGGTTGTTTCATTTTATTTATTTAGCAACTGAAATCAATATGGATTAAGCATCTTATCTCTATCGATTGACAAAAATAAAATTCCTGCTAATCCTATTTCGCTATAACATATTATCTCTATCGTTGGAGCATCTTTTCCAGGTCTTTTTCATCCAATTGGCAAAGAATGAGCACAGAAAAGTCGCTGGCATGCAAGCTCCCCATTTTTCTCTTTAGTCCTCACAAAAAGTTTGAGGCATGTCTCTTGTTTCACTTCCTGGATGGACTAAGGTCCAGCCTTCTGCTCTTTGTCTCTTCTTCTCTCTAACTCTGAAAGACATAGGCTTGAGGCCTCTCTAACCTCCACACATCGATCTCAAACTCACATCCACTCAATCTCTTTACTCCTATCTCACTGCATGCTCGCCTATTTCCGACCCCAAACGCAGGCAACTCGAATCCGCTTCATTCTCTTTTCTTGTTCGATGTAGTAGTTGTTCATGGAAACGCGTTGGTTCTTACCGGAAATAATTGTTTACTTGACTTTGTATGTTGAATTTTTTTTATCTCATATGAATGTCAATTTTGGCTACAGCATACTTGTCAATGAAGAATGCGCAGCGGAGTGTTGCCCGTGAGTCATGGTCATAATTCACGCACGTCGGCGCGCACAATTTTGAATACGGCTAAAAATTAAATAAAGAACTTATAAAATTCTTTATATGGACTCCTATTTTGAGTATCAATCGAGTGTGGGTAAAAATTGTTTGTAGTCCAAAGTCAAACCATTAAAATTGAGCTTCAAATTTGTCCAAAATTTCCTATAAATAAAGACTAAATAAAGTTTTAATAAAACCTAACTAAACCTATTTTAATCATATCAAATAATCTTTAAAATTAATTATTACATTATTTAAAAATATAATTAAAATATAAATATTAATATACTATTTTAAATAATATTAGAAAATCCCGACATAATTAAAATTAAAATTCTGCGCACCATTGCGGGCCGCCGTGCACAAATGACGCGTGCCAACTTGAACATGCGTGTCGTGCCATGCCAGCTGTGTGCCGTAGGTGCGCTCGCCGCGCTATGGCGCAATGGTCGTGCGCTATTTTGGCGCCATTGACAGAGTGTATGAAGAGTGAGTAATATGGCTGCAAGTGTCATGGGTTGAAATTTTTCATGTGAATGGAACTTTCATGTATTACTCGGGCAAACGCCGCTTATAAGGGATCATTTTTTTTTCAGTTGTAAGTAGGGAATCTCATTTGTAGTTCATTTTCATTCTCGTCAGATTCATCTCAATCGAGTTCTTGCATTTTTTGAGATGTAGGAGAGTTGTTTAAGAATATTGAAGAAGTTATGTTATTCGTAGTTCATTATGCATCCTGCTTTCTTGTTCATTGTGTGTTTTTAAATTCATCACAAGTCCCCCTTGTGTTTTTATTTCTATTCAATGTTGTGTGTTTAATTCTAGTCTTTGCATTTCTCTTTGATGCCGACGCGGTATTGCATGTTTAAGTGTTTGGTATTTTATTTTTATACATTTAACATTTTACATTCTTCATTTTTGTTCATTGTTAATGTCATTCCAAAAAATATTTTTCATTATGAATCTTTGCAAGTTTGTTCACTCACGAGAATTGTTTCGATGAACCAATTTTTATCTTCATAGAAACATCTATAAGAATATTTAGGCCTTCTTAACATGCTTAAAAAGTTGCATAGTCAGTGGCGTCAAACACGCTGGTCTAGGAGGTATTTTATCCCCATCCACTTAAAAAAACATGTAATAGTCTTTTGCATATCGTTTGAAATTTGACAGTATTCCCTCACCATGTTGGAACAATGCAGTCGGCAAAGTGCTAAATTTGAATTCCTTGTGGGATCCAAAAATTCGTTGCCCCGACCTTATACTCTTTTAAGGAGAGTTTTTAACGCTTAAAGATCCAGAAGGTAAATTTCAAGAAGAATGATTTGGAAGCTTTAGATTTGGCCTCTCATTTTGTGAGGATTTTAGATCATGTAGTTCAAAGGTTTCCTATAGGTGCAAGCCCTATAGTTATTACCTTTCTTGATAGTGAAGAGAGAACTTTCGACTAAGGCTAGTCATCAACATATAAAGTTAGAGGAATATGTGGTATCTGGTGTATGGTAGCCATGATTGGGTTTGGATATTTCCAGACTTAATATTTAAAATTAAAATATTTTACCACTACACTTAATAGTGGATGTGGGGGAATGGAATGATGGACTCGATCAATGATCCCATTGGTTTTCGTCGTCCCCGGTCAACATGGTCTCTTAGTCTACTTAGTCAGAGTAGGTAGTCGAGCCCCACTTGATAGAAGGATCTTGTAAGCAAGTCATGGGTTGTTTTGCCCCGAAGGGTACCTTGGTAGTATCTGAGGGGAAATATTTGCCTAAGGGAAATATAATTTTAAATCCACTTTAAGCTAATAAAGTGCTTTGTGCCCTAGTCGATTATATTCGATTGATTCATACTCAATGGATTTGAATGTAGATTGTGGAGGCATATGGGATTTGCCGGGCATTTTGTAGTTTCGTGATCCCCATCTTAGTTTGAGTTTTCATTCAAATCGGCGAGCCAATTATCCGGAGTGATTATGAGTGATTTCACTTGTTTTTTGATTTGAACTGTTGTCACTCTATCTTTTTTGCGATAGGGATCGGGTTCTTTGTAGCATTTTGCCTTTATTGGTGGATTTTCCTTGTTTATATGGCAATCAACATATAATGTATTAAACACAATATCCTCAGTCGAACGTCGCTGATGTAGTATTTTGTTTGATTGTTTGAACATGTCGACTTCCTATCTACTCGCATAGAAAGATCGGGTTCGACTGGATTTATCATTTAATCCGCGCAACATCCTCGGACGACTCAAACGGTGTGTTTACGATACCGTAACACCCTCCGATTGGGGCCGCATTCGGGTGTATGATTTGCAATGTAATTTTGTATGATGCAAATATATGATTGTCAATTGACATATATAGCAAATATGTAGCGTCGTATTGTGCATATGTGTAGTACGGCATTTGCACGAGTGCTTAATGTTCACCATCAATAGAAGCTTCGCATGTTGGCA